ATTAAAATCAAATTTAACAGTCAATTAAAATCAATCACTGTCGTGTCATTTCTACTCAATTAAAATTTTGTTTTCTACTCAATTAAAATTTTGTTCAAGTCTTTACGAATTTATCGCCATTTGTCATCTGGGCTTTTTCTACTTCAACATTTAAATTGCAAATTTTGTATTGAGTAAAATGCCATGACAGGGATTCGGTTTAAAGAAACCTAAATAAGTTTTCTCGGTAACTTTAAACCGAACCACTGTCAAGACCTTTTNCTACTCAATTAAAATTTTGTTCAAGTCTTTACGAATTCATCGCCATTTGTCATCTGGACTTTTTCTACTTCAACATTTAAATTGCAAATTTTGTATTGAGTAAAATGCCATGACAGGGATTCAGTTTAAAGAAACCCAAATAAGTTTTCTCGGTAACTTTAAACCGAACCACTGTCAAGACTTTTTCTATTCAATTTGAAGTTTGTTGAAGTAGATAGGAATTCATCAAATAGACACCATGTCGTAAGTATATTAGACTCATAATTAATCATTTTCAATGGAAGAGTAATATTATTTATTCAACAGTCAATAAAACTCAATCACTGTCAAGTCTTCTCTACTCAATTTAAATTTTGTTGATNTCAGTTTAATAAAACCCAAACATTCTTTATCGGTGGTTTTATTAAACTGAACCACTGTCAAGACCTTTTCTATTCAATTTGAAGTTTGTTGAAGTAGATAGGAATTCATCAAATAGACGCCATTTCGTAAGTATGTTAGACTCATAATTAATCATTTTCAATGGAAGAGTAATATTATTTTTTCTATAATCATTTATCTTGAATAATGTTTTAATATTATTTATTCAACAGTCAATAAAACTCAATCACTGTCAAGTCTTCTCTACTCAATTTAAATTTTGTTAAAGTCAATACGAATTCATTGTCATTTGTCATCTGGACTTTTTCTACTTCAACATTTAAATTGCAAATTTTGTATTGAGTAAAATGCCATGNTCAATTAAAATCAATCACTGTCGTGTCATTTCTACTCAATTAAAATTTTGTTCAAGTCTTTACGAATTCATCGCCATTTGTCATCTGGACTTTTTCTACTTCAACGGTTAAATTCCATATTTTGCATTGAGTAAAATGCCATGACAGGGATTCAGTTTGATAAAACCCAAAAATATTTTCTCGGTTTTTTAAACTGAACCACTGTCAAGACCTTTTCTATTCAATTTGAAGTTTGTTGAAGTAGATAGGAATTCATGGAATACACCCCATGTCGTAAGTATATTAGACTCATAATTAATCATTTTCAATGGAAGAATATTATTATTTTGTGTAATCATTCATCTAATATAATGTTTTAATATTATTTATTCAACAGTCAATAAAACTCAATCACTACCAAGTCTTTTCTACTCAATTTAAATTTTGTTGAAGTCAATATGAATTCATTGCCATTTGTCATCTGGACTTTTTCTACTTCAACAGTTAAATTGCAAATTTTGTAAAATTCTATTGCTAACATTCAATTTTGTACTTATATTGCCAACCCAGTTCCTGAAATTATATTATATTTTTCAATTTGTCTGTTTATTGCCTATCTAACTTTTAAATATCTATTGTTATTCAAAAACAAAAAAAATATTTCTATAGCTACCTATGAAAATTTGATTTATATTGTAAATAATTCTCTAACCCATAAAATTGTCTCGAATATGTAAAAAAACTTTATCCTGTGAACTCTTTATTGAATAAATCATCAATTCAATTCAATATTCTTATCTTAAGATATGATTATACTTTTTAGAAATGTAGTATATGTGATGGTTATTCGCTAATAAACCTTAGATACCTATTCAAGGAATATTATTAGCAACTTATACTACGTCTTACCTCAGATTACATAGATAGTACTATATATATCTATAAACTTATTTATTAGATATCTGTAGACAGTATCCAAAAAATATTCCCAGTTTATTCACTAAAATCATCAAAAATATTTAATGTATATAGAGGAACACATGGAATATACAATTTGGTATTAACATGTATTCTTTTTAATTATTAAATAAAACGATTTAAAATTAAAAGTCATTCCTTTATGGAAAAAAAAAATTATCTTCTACAGTATCAATAGTATAATACAAATTATAAATATAAAATAAAATATATTTTATAATATAAAGAAAAGTTTGTCTTTTTTATTGGAAATTTATTTAACATTTATATTTTATAGTCAAGATCAATAGTCATACCTTTACTGAAAAATATTAAAATATTATAACAATATATAATACATAATTACTTACCCATAATATAATACAAAATATATTTTATAATAAAAAAATACCCGCTCTTTTTATTAAAAAAATTAACATTAATATTAAAATATAGTAATATTTATAATTATAAATTACAAGTTGTACTTATATATTTTATTCTTTCTTTGACTTAAGGCCAAGTACCAGCAACACTTTCTAAATGTTTGTCTATTTCTTCTATTAACTTAATTTTTACTCCACCTATAATGAAACAATATATTTTTTTTTCAACGATTATTATATATCACATTTAAAATTATTATTAATGTTTATACAAATTATAAACATATATAATGACATACAATGACCACTAGACTAAATATAAAATAATTCAATTTAATAATTGAAAAAAATTGCAAATGACAAAGGATTTAATTTGTGGGGACAAATAGTTCAGATATCCTTGTACGCAAGAACAAACAATTCAGAGTATCAAATCAGAAATGAAAAAGATTAGGATAATCTATAAGTACCACACAAATTGTCATCAAATTATAAATCTCAGAAATTTCAATAATAATTCTTTTTCCCGGATATAAACACCATTAATGCATTAGTAATTAGTTTTAAAGTCTTTACAATATTCCTTATTAACATAAGATCAATTCAAAAAATGTTTAATCAATTATTAGTTACCCATGTTAGATAATATATAATATATTGATTATACCTATGGTCTTATCTGAGTGTTGGCTCGGAAGTTGTCTAATTAATATAAAGTTTTAAATTATATAAAGCTTATAGTAATAATTTTAACTAAAATAGTGGTTTAATTGTATATATTAATATTAAGCATAAAGTTAACTGTGGGAATGAGATTGTTATTGATAACTGTAATTGTTTATAACTTAACATTAATACTAGAGAGACTACTCATTTAATAATAGTACTTTATAGACGTCATAATAAAAAATTTTCAGAATTTAAAATTCATAACTAAAATATTATCAAATATTATTCAGTTAATAAAGTCATAGTAACAGAAGATATAAATATCAATACTACCAAGTAGTAAAGATAATACTAAATCGGAATATTTGAATTTAAATGAATTTAATCAATTAGAACTAAAGATAAATTAGGTAAAATGGTAGGTATTAAAATGAATAGAATGACATCACAGTATGTAAATATTACAAAAAATATAAAAATAAATTATGTTTACTAATATGATTCACTAAAAATAAATATTATAAAATTTAAATTTAAAACAACACTGGGAATATTAAACAAGTTTGAAATACAATTAGAGAAATAGTTAACAAAGAACAAACAAATAATCTGTAGCCCTCCAAAATAATTTCTTATTAACTATAATAAACTAATTGATATAAGCATTGAAGAGAAATTGTGTAACACCAGTATTATTATAATATTATTTTTTCTTGGTATAAGATTATAATATTTGTGTAATAAAAACAATGAGTATTCTATGTTGTATAGATCTGTATAACTTAGAATAATAAAGCTATTAAAAATTGCCCTTTTTATAAAATACCACAAATATTTAATATAATATAAAATCATAATTACTTTTTACAAAATCAGCCAGGCTTGTTGTTGCAAAACTCAATTATTTTTTCGGCCTAACCATTTAAACTGTTTTTTAATTTAAAACTTTTTAAGTTTACTGAATGATGATCCACCAACAATATAGGTTTTTGACCTAAACAAAAAAATTAATTCTATAATAAGATACCTACATTTGAATACAACATGTAATATTGAAATTCATTACAAAAATAATTGAACTGGTTACAATTTCCAGCACTATTTCACCAATTTACCAGATGGTAAATCGATACCAATTACTTATCATTGTATGTTCTTAATACATCAAACTATGTAAGTAAAACATAAGTACCTACCTATTATGTAATAATTAGTTTATTTGTTTTAGGAATATTGGTTCAAATTGTCCAACTTAAATACATCATAAAGTTTTTATGAATACTTTGCAAAGGTTAATAAAATTATTGCTTGATTGTCATCTAAAAATACAAATTTTCCTTTTTACTTTTACAATATAATAATATTAATACTAATGTATTTTTACCTAGTTTTATAATTTGTTTTGTAGATAATATTTAATTTGTTACTAGATATAATTATACTTTTTAGTTTTTCATATTATTTCACCAACCAATTAAATAGTTATGTCATTAATATCTCATTATCTCGTTTAAATTATGTTATCAGTATTAAAGATACATATATAAATCAACTATCAAGCATCATGCAGATTTCTTTACCACCTTAGTTTCTATCTCTATTTTATTTTTCTCCTTCTTTCTACTATCTTCCAGATTAAAAAACATGTAATTACAAATAAAAACAAACAGGGTTTAAAATAGATAAAAACAATACACATTAAATTATTTAAAATATGAAACATACCTTTCCATATATGATTTACACAACAAGCATTCAAAATGATCATTGATTCAATCTAATTTGTTTTCAATTTTTTTCACACAATCTACTATTATCCATCTAATATATATACCACATTGTACCCAAGTAAAATTATTTTCTTTAATTTTTTTATGCCGTGAATCTGAATTTTTAAAGTATATACAAATATCTCTCATAAAATCATAGTTTTCTAAAAGGAATTATTTCAGTTTTATTCTATACACCATTGGATCGAAATTAGTATCAAAAATAATAATTTGTTTTGGCTTCTCATCATGCATTCAGTATAATTATGGTGACTAGATGTACACTTTTTCGTAGCACAATACTCTGTTTTGATGTATTATTCTATGTCCTTAACAATAATTTTAAGTACATGAAATTGTACTCTTTGTTTTGAAAATTATAAATAATAAATAAATATAAATATGAAGGAAACAAATATTAATAAAGTTTTATGTTTATTTATTTAAATGTCTACCTTAAAAAATTGATTTTAATATGTATATTTTAGTTATACTTGTGTACTTTAAGAAGAATTAAAATTATTTAAATTTTAAAGTATTTTCATATAGACAAATAAAATAAGTCGACATTATGATTTCAAATCATTAGTTTTAATAGTTGATAATAAAAAAAAAAAAAAATAGAGTAATCAGATAAAACAAAAATGTATAAAGATGGAGATAAACTATGGGCAGAATAGGTAGAATAGTACATACAACACACATTGGCCAATTCTTTCAAGGGAAGGGTGTTTTTACAATAAGGGACCTAAATTTTAAAATGTATTTTTTTTTGGATTTTTATATCTGGTCACCATAGGTATAATATAAACAATAGACCGCATCATTTTGATTAGGATATTCGATATCTAACCGGCCAGAGGAACCCTTAGCCGGACTATACTGTCTGAAAGTAGATTTCACAAGCTATCATTTGGTGAAATAAAATTATTTCTAATTAGTATGCATTTATTATTAATCAGGTTACAAAGAGACTGTTTCGGCCGGTTAGTGTAACGTTATGCTATTACTTACATAATATTTTTTTTACGCCCTTTATTGATATCACATTGTGCATTTTTGCATATTTATTGCCTAACGTCTTTAATGCATTTTGAGAACCACTGGATTCTCTTGTCAAATATTGTTAGTGAAAGCGCGGTAAAACTAAAACGGTTTCTATCATCACTAATGACTGTGGTATTACATTTTTGTTATACTATTTAGCTTTTAGCTGTTCAGCTTCACCCTTAGTTAGTTGGTAATTTTGTCAAGGTCTTTTATTAAATTGTTTAATAATATAGTAATTATATTAATGTATTTATTCATTATTATTTATTATTAACGTTTGATATTAAATATGCTGATTAATGTTAGGATTTACATATTTTGAAAATATTTGTTGAAGGATCTTCTCTGACAGATTATTGCAGGAGTTATGAGTATGTATTGAAAAACTATTTTTGTATTATGTAATTAGTTTGTTTTTGCCTGTGATTTTTCCTAGTGCATAGTATTATTACTGATAATATTTTAATATAATATAGGTGTATATATATTGTTTATTTTCACAGTACTAAACAATGATTATTTAAGCAGACAGATATATTATGGAAGTTAAAAAAAGTTTTGAAAATACTCCACTAAATTCAAAGTGAGTAAATGTGTCAACATTAAAATAATAACAATAATAATATTATTTTGTAAAAAATCATCCAATTTCATTTTTTACTCGCCCACCTACAAAAAATATTCCTATTCTATCACACCCTCTCTGTAAACCATAAAATAAGAGTCACCAAATTATTTCCATGTTAGTCTTGTTGTAACTTATCAAACTATTTGCAGTCTATAAAATTTGTAATGATTTTTTATAGTACACGTGTAAACATTAGCGTATTCAGAAAAAAAACTTACTTAAAAGCTATATATTTCATTTTTTTATTGTTTCATAGGTAATACTAAACATTTAGTGCATAATATTTAGTTTTATTAAACTAAAATAATTTATGTTATATTTCTGAACATCCATCCATCTATGACTCGCTCCCCAATTTTTTTTTTTTTGTGAATTATATAATATAAATATACCATTTCGCACTGCTCCTGCTAATACTTGTTCTAAATCTGAGTATAACAGGAACCCGAGATTGAAACAAATTGTTTTCTACCAGTGATAAACGGTTTAAACCAGGATAATATTGAATAGCCAATACCTAAGCATTCCAGTTTGTAATTAATAGTTCATGGATGACTGTATCAAATGCTTTTTTAAAGTTGGTAGTAACAACATCAACCTGATTGCCTGCTTTAAGACAATCGCTAATGTTGGTGATAATATATTACATATAACTGTTACAATGTATAGCAATATTATAAGTATATAAACTTTTATGATTACATAGTTTTTCATTTAAATTTGTTATCACTATTCAGATCAAATGTTTTACTTTCTATGTATTTTTTTAAGTACATCAAAAATTTAGAGCATAGCGAGTTATCTACTGGTTTTACTAAGTGTTTGTTTTTGACTGTAAATAACTTTTCCAACAGAAACCTTGCTCCAATTGAAAAATGTAGTGCATTTAAAGAAATCATTTTATGATTTTTCAAATTGTTTTTCGAAATACATTGGAAAAATCAGAAATAATTATTTATTTGTATGGTTATTTCAGTTAAAATATTTGTATACATTTGAAATTTTAATAGAAAACTCATATTTCATATTTTTGGTCATATTAAAATTTTCAAAATATTTTCAAAAAAGGTGCTTTATTTGATACTTCGGACCAAGATTTCTGGTAGAATTTTTGTACACAGCATAAAAAATATAAAAAATATAAATAAACATTATTGCAAAACCATTGTATTTCTTGCTCTGCTCAGAATCTAAAATATATGTACATACATATTTAAACCAATATCTCCAACCACTGAGAAATGCACAAAAAATCAGAAGTTAAGACATTGATATTTTTATCATAATAATGGTTAATATTTGTCATAATCTTATCTTATTGTCTCATAATAATTTTAATGAAAAAGTTTATTATTATTATGTTAGTGAGAGCTTGGTCTGTCAGTATTTTTAAATTAGGATTAAAATAGGTGTTTGTTAGAGGAGGTTACACTGTGTATAGATTAAAAATCAAGTTATTAACTTTATACTAACATAAGTATTGACAAATATGCACATAAAGATATAAAAAATACACATGTCCTTCTACTGTGGAGCATTCTCACTCCCTGATAGGTTAGGTTAGGTTAGGTTTCATTCATTTTCCAATTTTTTGTTTTCATTTAATACAGACACGAAAAAACCAAAAAGGAATATGGGTAAAAAAATTATAATAAAAAATTGACACAGGCAACATTAGGTGGGACAGCAACTAATAATAATAAAAAATATTAAAAGTTTGTTATAGATTAATTGTCAACAGAATACCAATTTATAAAATCATAGACAAATATGTAGTTACAAAAAAATAAAATCAAAAATATTTTCAGCTCTATTCTACTATAATACATAATACTTACTATATATTACTATAAACCTTACATATTTTACAAACAATCACATTTTTTTTCATATTTGTAAATTATTTTATAAACCATCTATTCATCTTTAAATGTATACAAGTTATAAATAATTTGCAACAGTTTCTAATGACACATTGATTTATTTCTTATACTTTTAGATCAATTAAAGAAGAAATGATTGATGGCATGACATTTTACAGTTCTTATTACGAAGACAAATCAATGCAAATAGAGTGAGTATTATGTAATTTAATATTTCACTGTCCATGTATTTTTTAAGTTTAACTTTTTTATTTTATATGATGAACTGTTAACTTTTATTTCTTCTTCCACGAAGACCTTAAGTTTAAAATTGTCATAAGGGTTAAGTTAGGTTGTTTTTATTCTGACATATAAGTACCTACACCATTGTAAAGTAACATAAAGATGCATACAGAGCTATTAAATATTTGATTTAATGTTAAATTTTATTATTTTTATTATTGAGTTATATCAGGTTTAATTCTAACATATAAAAATACTGTAAATTTTGTTAATATAAAAACATAATCATGTTTTTATATATCCACATAATAATAATTTTAAATTCAGAGTGCAGTATTACAGCGACAGTCATCTGTAGTGCATGTTTATTGACACACATACGCTATCACTTCTCGCTTATCACTTCATTAATTTTTAAATTTAACTAGACAAATTTAATGAGTACTAAATGGAACCTTATTACTCAGCTTAATTATTATCACTCTATGTATTGCTTTCATTTGCGTTAAAACAAAAACAAAATATAATACATTGCCGAACAAAAAAAATCCTAAAAACTCCCCATTTTCTCTCCTCTCCGTGAAGAAGATAACTCATGGGTGGTCTCTGACACAGATAAAGCAAACTTATTTGTCTCTTAGTCACAATGAACAACATCTCAATCTCCTCCTTTTCAGAAGTTAAATATCTTGGTCTCACACTCGACAAAAAAACTAACCCGGAATCCTCACCTAAAAACCAAACGAAAAGCTCTTAATACCCTTCTCAACCTCCTTAGACCCATACTGAAATTTAAAATGAATATAAATACCAAACTATTTAATTTACAAGTCCTTACTTAGGTCACTTTGGACCTATGGACCTTTCAACTATGGAGTGCCGCTAAACCTACTAACACCTGTACAATCCAAGCATAAATCTACTAATCTCTAAATTATCAACGAACACACTCCCTGCTAATTCAGACTTAAAAGACAATTGTGTAGACATCTTCTTTAGTTGATGAGCAGAATAAGTGCTGGCTGTTGCTACCAGGCAACACCTTTCAAAAAAAAAAAATTTTCATTGTTATTACTGTCACTTTATAGGGTGTTACCACTGGGTATCTTTCCTAATCTTATTATTCATGCTAATTACTTTTATTAACATTTATAAAACCTACTCATTGTACAAATAAAAATTTTTATAGATTGTAGATTTATTTCTATAAAAATAAAAGATTCAGAGTGTAATAAGGACTGTATTGGTTTTACAATGATGTTTATTTATTTTTTGTGTAGGCAACATTTTTTACCAACAATTTTGCTCCGATTTACAAGTGTAACACATTTTCTGAAAAGAAATCAAACTGAGAAGTTAATTTAGGGTGCTTATTTTTTGATATAACCAGGGGTTTTCCCAAAAAATGAAAAAATAGGTACAATATTAAACAAATATTATCAAAGAAAATATATAATACCTATGTAATTATTTTACCACAATATGACATATATATTGTTGACAATATCAACTGAACATAGCTCAGAATTTTTTTCTTTAGCAATGGTTTATAGTTGCTTACAGATTTACATTAGATATCCCCTCTAATACTATTCTTACTTCTTACTTACAATAGTGGCCACCCACCTGTAAAGTTTGTATGTCTTTTTTTATACTATATCAAATTTTTACCAGAACTCATGCTTCAATGTATTAAGTGTAGCATCCTTTTTGAAAGCAAATTTTTATCTAGTTATAGAGAGGTCATTTTTTGATTTTATTGGAGATTTTTTTAATAGTTGAGAAAAATGGCTGAATAGATAAATATTTTTATCACAATAATTTTATGATTTTATATTTTTGTAATTTATGTTTTCTAATAATCCTTGCATTTTGGATCTAGTTGCCCACGAATAAGTAATTTTCTGTTTTTTTTTCATAGGTTTTTTGCAATACAACAAATAATTTAATAATAACAAAAAAAAAAAAAAAAATTGTAGGAAAATGTACAAAAATAATGTTTTTATTATTTTTAATTTTGTTGTAATTCAACTAAAAATATTTGTAGATGCTTGAAATTTGACCAGAAAATTTATATTTGCCTCTTTAGACCTTTTTAGAGGTGGTAACATTTTTAAAACTTTTAAATTATTTTTAGATATTTTAATTTTACAATTTTTTATGTAATTTTTATTTGGTATATACTTTGTGTAACTTATTGTAGGACTAAACAGAAATATTTGAAAATTTAATACAAGGTACATTATAAGTTGAAAAATAAATTTAAGTTCAGTGTATTAGTTATTTTATTTGATAAGTGTTTTGAGATCAAATTTTGATGAAAATTGTTCATATTACATTTTTTAAAACATGTTTAATCAAACTTTCCTCCAAATTATTTTTTGTTAGCAATGGTTTATTATTGCATAAAGATAAATTAAATTCCCATCCATTTCCTTCTTCACCAACTTCTGGTCTTTAACAGTAACTCACTCCTTGTGCAAACTATGTCTGTTATTTTTATTCTGAGTAGAGTAAAGTAAACATTTTTTTTGTTTGATGGTACTTAATTTGAACAAATTTTCGAAATTTCATAAAACTTTCCAAAGAAATCTTTTTGTTTTCTATAACATTTTATGATAACATAATTTTTCTTTCTGATTTTTTTGTTATCACTCTTTTTATTATTTGGTTATAATTAAAAATTAGAACACTATATATTAGAGTATATAGTCTTATATAGAGACTATATAACCATTTATTCACTTTTATATTTTTAAAAGTTATAAATAAATTTAAACATTTTCTAATAGATGCATTGATTTATTTCTTTCACTTTCAGATCATTTAAAGAAGAAATTAGTGATGGTTCAACATCTTATAATCCTTATTATAGAGATAAATCAAAGCAATTAGGGTGAGTATTATTTAATTCAATGTTTACTGTCTGTGTATTTTTTAAGTATAACTATAATTTTAGAGCATAGCAAGTGATTTACTGGCGTTTGATTTTGCCTGTAAACAATTTTTCTAATATAAAACTTGCTCCAATTTAATCTATTGTATTAGATACTTAACATTTATAATTTTTCAAGGGGTTTCTGAAATACAATGGAAAAATCAGAAATAATTTGTTTTTGAGTGTTAATTCAGTTGAAATCATTTGTAGAGATTTGAAATTTGATAGAAAACTTATATTGGATATTTCTCTTTGTAAAATTTTAAAAATATTTTTGTCTTATTTATTAGCATTTTAATTGTAAGATTTTTTACATAGTTATTATTTGGTAGGTACTATATGGATTATAATAGTAGTACCGGTTAATTTGTGCGGTTTTCTAACAGATGGCGTAACTTGATTTTTATTCCAATGATTCACCTTTCTAAATATGTGTTGGAAAGCTACTGTCATATTGTTTCAGAATCAGTATGTGTAATTTAGCTGAAGCGTAAACAACAATATTTTTTTTTACTCGGAAAATGTCGAATTTTGTGCCGATTAAAGTGTTTTTGCGGGGAGTACTTCTTCATTACTTCAATATGAAGAAAAAGGCTGCCGAAAGTCATTGCATTTTGGTGGAAGTGTATGGTGTGCATGCTCTAGCTGAGCGTACGTGCCAGAAGTGGTTTGCACGGTTTANCCAAGAGACGTCGAACGTCGATTTTTCGCGTGTGAACAACTGCTTCTGAAAATGTTTTTTGCATCGACTTGTCACTGGCGATGAAAAGTGGGTCCATTACGATAATCCAAAACGTCGGGCAACGTATGGCTACCCCGGCCATGCATCATCATCGATGGCCGTTCAGAATATTCATGGCCTGAAGGTTATGCTGTGTATTTGGTGGGACCAGCTGGGTGTGATCTATTATGAGCTGTTGCAACGGAATGAAACGATCACAGGGGAAGTCTACAACTGATGCGTTTGAACCGAGCATTGAAAGAAAAACAGCCAGAAACTGAGACCAGACACGATTATGTAATTTTGCAACATGGCAATGCTCGGCTACATGTTGCACAGGTCGTCAAAACCTACCTTGAAACACTTAAATGGGATGTCCTACCCCACCCGCTGTATAGTCCAGACCTTGCGCCATCTGATTACTATCTTTTCCGATCAATGCAACATGGCCTGGCTGACCAGCACTTCTCCAATTATGAAGAAGTCAAANAGAAACTGAGATTAGACACGATTATGTAATTTTGCAACATGACAATGCTCGGCCACATGTTGCACAGGTCATCAAAACCTACCTTGAAACACTCAAATGGGATGTCCTACCCCACCCGCCGTATAGTCCAGACCTTGCGCCATCCGATCACTATCTCTTCCGATCAATGCAACATGGCCTGGCTGACCAGCGCTTCTCCAATTATGAAGAAGTCAAAAATTGGATCGATTCGTGGATAGCGGAGAAGCCGGCCGAATTTTTTCAGAAAGGGTATTCGTGAATTGCCAGAAAAATGGGAAAAGGTCATAGCTAGCGATGAACAATACTTTGAATATTAAATTTGTAACCATTTTTTCACAATAAAGCTTCAATTTTCGAAAAAAAAACCGCACAAATTAACCGGTACACCAATTATGATTGGGTGACCAAACAGAAATGCTTGAAAATTTAACACTAGGTTTATTTTAAGTTCTTTGTGATAAAAAAAAATAAAACTTAAGTGTAATGTAGATAATCATTTTTTTAAATAAATTAAATATTACAATCTTTCAAATTATGTACAAACAAGCTTTGCTCAGAATAATATTTTGTTAGCAATAGTTGGTCATTGTTTAAAGATATAAATTAATTAACTTTATGCATCTTACCTTCCTAATTTCTCACCTACAACACAGTTAGCACTGATATTAAATTGAATTTATAGGATAATATTGACTTAAAAATTACAATTAACACAAAAGGTGATGTTCTGCATAAATAACATTAATTACCATTTAAATCGGTTGAATAATCAAAAACAAATGGTCACAAATTTGTTACATTTCCATGTAAACTTTTCCCATGTTAATTGTATAAAAATTATGTTCTTAAAATTATTAATTAATGATTTTAAGTAATGTATTCTATATTTTAAACTATTAAGGCTTGTTAATGAGGATCCATTGTTTGTCCCATACAAATGTTCACCATTGCTTTTTTTAATGGTTCTCTTCAATTTTCACAATTTTTCTTAATTTTTATTTTTTATTCTCTGGTTATTTATCTTTCTCATTAAGTATTTACTTTAGCATTAGTTTATATGTATTTCTTGTATCATAATGATGATCTTCCTCTTATATTGTTATTGCATGTAGTTATTAATTATTAGGTTGTTGAAATTTCCATTGTACCACTTTCAAATTGCTAGATGGCATAATAAACTAAATAATAATAATAGCAATTAAATTAAGTGAATTCCCAATTATACTACAGAAATATTTATTTTTGTTGGTCCCTTTTTTTTACTTTATAGTTACCTACCTAATTTATATAATCATATTATAATATTATTATTATGTATTCATAATGTTCTCCAGTACGATCTAAGTATTGAATAAAAGGGTAGTAGCCACCAAAATATATTAACAAGAGTTGTAAAGAATTGTACCACTGAAAAACTGTGCTAATTTGTATTCATCCATTCAATAAAAATATCATAAAATATCTACTCTCGTTGATGCTCACTGGAGTTACTCTAAATCGAACCCTCTGTTATTAGGTTTATAAAAAAAAAAACAGCTGATATCACACCAAAAATACTTCATTATAACTCTGTGTTCCAAAAATCTAAGTTTAAACAAATCATGTAATGTCATTACATTTTGTAATGATTTAACCTTATTTAACATTATAAAGTTATGATAGAATATGGAAATTAGGTAAAATGCCATTTTGTTACAAATATCTATAAAGACAATTAAGATTAATTAAAACTTTAAACATAATATTGATTGTAAAGTTAAACACTTAGTGAACATATTGTTTACTTTGCAAAATGTGTAATACAAATAAATAACCACCATAATAAATTTTGTAAAAATATTTTAATATAATAATATATTAATAATTTATTAATTTATTAAACGATGGTTAACGTTTTATAAACCACAAATTTTAAAAAAAAGTCACAATGTTGTTCTTAGTTCAAATTAAGAAATATTAACAGTGATTATATTTACTTGCCAAATAAATAATATGTTGACTAAGTGTTTAACTTTACAACCAATCTTTTTTGTCATTATGGGTATTTGTAATGCTACAAAACAGTATTTTACTTAGTTTCCATAGTATATCACATCTTTTAAAGGTTAATCATTTCTTAATGTAATATCACTACATGTTTTTTTTTTTTTTTAATTTAGCTTTTTTGTTAATGGAGTTATAACAAAATGGTTTTGGTGTGATTATTATTACATTTGTAAGAGCTACAGTACTTCCGCTCCCAGATATGGTTTTCATAATATTAGTGTTAGGTACTTAAGCTATATTTAAAACATCTTTTATTATATTGAATTGTATAATCTTTGTATTTATTTTTAATGATATTAATGATTATAATGATCATTATATTTTTCAGATTAATGCACAATTCTAAACAAGAAGGTGAAGAAATATATGTCCATATTAAAAAAGAAGTAGACATCATTGAGGGTTGTGTTTATGAGAGTGAGATTGTTATTGAAACTGATCCAATGGAGTCCATTTTGTACCAAGAATCACATTTTGAAGAAAAATGATTTGAATGCTCTTACTGTAGAAACTTTTTTTTTTCAAAATTTGATTTAAAATGGCATATAAAAACTCACAGTGTGAAAATATTGTACCCATGTAAAGTATGTGGTAAATTATGTTATTCCTTATCTGTTTTACAAAATCACATGAATGTTCATAGCAATGTAAAACTTCACAAATGTTACATCTGTGAGATGATATGGTCTACAAAAAAAAATTTATACCGACATAAATTAATTCATACAGGAGAAAAGCCTTATGGGTGTGATTTGTGTAAGATGACATTCAACCATAAATCTTATTTAATATCTCATTTAAGAAATCATACAGGAGAAAAGCCTTATGAATGTAAATTGTGTAAAAAGAAATTTAAACATAATACTTCTTTAAAAATTCATTTAAAACTTCATACTGGAGAAAAACCATATAAATGTGGAGAGTGTAAAGAGACATTTAGTCATTTAAAAACTTTAAAGCACCACAAAAGAACTCATACAGGGAAAAACCCTTATGAATGTGTTTTGTGTCATAAGATATTTACTCGTAGATCTAGTTTAATTGTCCATTTAAGAATTCACACTGGAGAAAAGCCTTTTAAATGTGGAGAATGTAAAAAGTCATTTACTCGCTTATACACTTTAAAGAACCATAAAAGAAGTCATGTGGGAATATATTCATATAAATGTGATATTTGTATATCTGTAAGAAGACATTTTTTTAAAAAAAAAATTGTAAAGTTCCACGAAAGCACTCATATTGAAAAAAAGCCTTAAAATGTGTCAGCTCATAATTTCTTGCAGTTTGCACAAGAATTTGCAATTGAGATTGATTACACCAATATAACATTTAATACTAAGTCCAATATTATTGAAGAAGGATCATACCAATGTTTTAAATATTATTATTTGTATAGTTTTAATGTTATTATTAAAAATAAAAAAGTTTTCTGGTAAATTTTGTGTAATTAATTAATGACTAACTTATAATTAAAGAACATAAACCTTAGGAGTACTGACCCAGGTATAAATGAAGCTGTGTGGTATTCTATAGGTCTGTTCCAATTTTTTGATTGGAAGAGTACAACTTCTGTTGCAGCTTTTTTATCATGAATCTGCAAAATTATGTGTCTCAGATTTTAGATAATGAATCAAGTTTCAAGACAATAATAGAAACACTGAAGGTAGTATTAATGAAAAGTGTTTTATGGATTTACCTTAGATTTATTATTTGAATTAATGGCGATCTAAAAATGCCGTAGATCTAAATAACTCGGGACCATATTGTCTCGAGATCTAGATGTCTCTGAACCGAAATAAATTCTTATCAGATATTTGGCGGATTTGTCTCGACGGGGGAATACGGGATCTATTTATCATGTTAGGTACCAATTATGATTTAAGATATTTTAAACCGAGGTACACATAACTAATTAAAATATATTAAAAATAAAATGTATTTTAATTCGTGGTTATAACTCTATGGCAGACAGCCAATGCGTCTATAAATAAGGCTCGATATGCCTAGATAAGGCCCATCTACACATAGTTTAGTCATAAAGTACAGATGTTGATATGCATACAATTTTTATGTATATCAGTTCTGTGGTTATAAGTAATAAAATAATTATTATCTAACTATTATCTGACTTTAGTAGTTAACATTTATGTGATAAAAAAAAAATAAAACAAACTCTATAAAACTGTGCTAATATTAATATTTATAAATTCCTTAAGGCTGTTTTTTTTTTAAATAGTAAGGATCGGCAATCGCAAAGATAAAATAATAATTTTTTAAAATCTGTAGTTATTTCATTTAAAACCAACATGAATGTCAGCCGTATTAAGTGTTCAGTTCTTAAAAACATTTTTGGGATGCATGCAAACATGTCTGTTAGAACTTTTAAATCTGCTAATTGTTTAACAATGAGATTTGTTCAGTATAAACACGAAGGTTGCCCAGGTTTGGGAGTTCAAGTAAATGATGGCGAACATGTAATTAGTTTAAGTGCTGCTGATAAAACTATTCCATCTAACATGGTGTCATTTTTAAACACTAAATATTCTCTTGGAAAAATTGAAAAGTAAATAAAATATATCATGAATAAAAAAAAAAATTATTAGATAACAAAGTACATACTTGTATGTTTTATTAAAGAGTGATTGAAGAACAAAAAATTGTGTTAAAATTATGTCAAGTTGAGATTTTACCTTGTATTACCAAACCTGATAAAGTAAGATTTTTGATATAAGATAAATACCTAAATTATGTAGATCATTATTTTGTTTGCTATGCTATCGATAATTACAGATAATATGTGTGGGGTTGAATTACAAAGGGCACTGTGATGAACAAAAGAAGCCATATCCTGAGGAACCTTTTTTTTTCCCAAAATTTCCTAGTACAATTATTGGGCCATATGATGGTGTAAAACATTCGTCAAAGACAAAAGTAAATTTGTTGTCATGCAGTTTGATTACGTCTTTTGTAAATAAAAATTATAAACATTTTTAGGCTATGGATTGGGAGGTAGAAATGGCATTAGTTATAGGAAAAAAGTGTAGAAACATTAATATTACTAATGCATATGATTATATATTTGGATATACAATCGCTCAAGATATATCAGCAAGAGATTGGCAAAAATCCAGAAATAATGGACAATGGTTGATTGGTATTTTTTTTTTTAATCATTTTATATATACATTGTATTTTAATTGATATTAATACCTAACTAATTATTTTTTTTCTAAATTTATTTCATAGCAAAAAGTATGGACACATTTTGTCCATTGGGGTCAGCCTTGGTACACAAAAGTGTAATTCCTGACCCTCATGATTTACAGATAAAATGTTCAATAAATGGTGTTCTCAAACAAGATGGATCAACTAGCGAACTCATTCATAGGGCTGACAAACTTGTTTCGTTTTTATCAAAGTGAGTACCTACATAGTTAATATAATTTTAATCCAGAAGATTTGGTATGTAAGTCCACTGTACAATTTAACATGTATTTGATTATTATGTATTTTAGAACCAACATAATAAGCTAAGGTTACTTTAGTTCTTATTTATTCTTTAATATTTGAGGTGTTAAAGAACATTAATTTTTAAATAATAAGGATGTAAGAAAATTGACAATATATATAGATTGATTTGTATTATATAATATAAAGATTATGACTTTATGGCTTTTTGTTGTTAATTTTTACATTACAATATCAAGATTGGAGAGATAATAAATTTATAGCTAATCTTTCACTGATAATCAAAAAATAATTTCAGCTTGATTACATTGTTACCTGGAGACATTATACTTACAGGAACACCCAGCGGAGTGGGTGTTTTCCGAGAACCAAAAGAATTCCTAAAAGTATGTTAATTATTGATTCAACAATTAAACATATTCCATAAAGAAAATATAATGTTTTACATTTTTAGGTTGGAGACATAATACAAAGTGAAATTTCAATAATTGGGAAGATGGAAAATCCAGTTGTTATAGATGAATAATATTAGTGGCCATTGTATTATGTTTGTTATAAATTTTAATTTAATTTAATTTAATTTAATTTATTTTAAAATTATATATTATTTATATAATGTTCATGTCATATTTATGCTATTTTTTTAATACTTTATGGAAGATTTAGATGAATGATTTAACATTAAATAAATAATTTTTTATAGATAGCTGTTGTAGTTTTATTTGTTAAATAATAATTATTTAATAAACATCAAGCATAAGTTCCAAAAAAAAAAAATTAATAATTTTTATAGAAACCTTATAATGTTTTAAATGTTTTAATCATTATAACTTTGCCTAGGTACATGAACAGAACTCAGTGTAACACTCATACTAAGTTAAAAATTAAATAAATTGATCATCCTAATTTTTAGAGTTTAGTATTCAATTACAAATATGTAATGATGTACAAATTATGATTTAAATGTGATGATGGTTGTGACTTCAACAAAGTTTATTTGTTAAGTACTAATCTATTTATTTATCTTTCTAAAGCTCCATCAATAATATAATTTGGGTGATCCTACTACCTAAATGAATAATTAAATTAAATGAATGTCTAACAATTCAAACAAAATAAATTGAAAAACTTTACATGAATAAACCATTATCTATTCATTTTCAATATTTGTGTCTCGTGGATATTCAATCACGAAATATCAAATTTACAATTGTCCATCAAAATTTAAATAAAAGAGCTGATACTGGAGATAGATGTGGCCACTGTTATAGATGGGTAGTTAGGAGGGTAGAATACAAAAGTTATTTAATTTATAGTTTTCATCAAAATTTTATTTTAAAAAAATGTGAAAAAAAAAATACATTAAACTAAATTTTTCTTTTAAGCACTAAGTATGACTTATAATGAACTTCCTATCAAATTACCAAATCAAAATTACATAAAAAACTTGAAAAATTAAAATGTCTAGAAATAGTTAAAATGTTTTGAAAATTTTACCATGTCTAGGAAAAGCAAGTATAAGTTTTCTGTCAAAATTTCAAGTTTATGAATATTTTAAATTAAATTACATTAAAAAACAAAATTTAAAATAATAAAGAATTATTTTTCCTTACATTTTCCTGAACTTTCTGCATTTTTTTTTTAGATTTTACTCAACTATAGAAAAAACTTCGAAGAAAATCAAAAAATGACTTTCTTGGTCATCAACTAGAAATTATTCAACAAAAAACATTTCGTGATGTTTTTTTATTGGAGTTTTTCCTACTTATTTGGAAAATTAAAAAATGCCCAATACAACAACTAGAGAAAATTACCTTTTAGAAAAGCTACTATAGTCTATACTTAGGAGCAATTTATCTGGTTGAAAATTTGTTCATAGAAGACAGAAAAAATACACATCATAGTAAAACTAATAGATCTCTTGCTGCGCTTCAAATACAAAATATCTGTATCAAATTATCAATCAACCTTGATTTTTAAAATATTTTGTATCTTATCATAAAATAATTTAAATAATTGACATTGATAATCAAGTTATTTTCTTATCTATGGTACCAGAAAAAATTTATTTTGTTTTTGAGTGATACGTGAACAGTGAACGTGGTGTACAATAATATTGTCTATAATGTAGTAATGTATACCTATGTCCCACACTGATACTATGTGGTAGGTATTTGCTTGTTTTGTCGACCGAATACCGATGCCTAGTGATTTTTAATTTTTGTAACAAAATAAATAAACCTAAAGCTAATAATTTATAATTTATTATATTTGCACTATACTCCACTAGCAATCAATTATCATAACAGTAAACGTGCAATGTTTTTTACGTTTGAGTGCGTGCACTAGTGAATACTGAATACTGATTAGTAATACATTTGTGATCTGATCTTTATAGTTTGAGGTAACATAATATTTTTATACTACTGTTGCTTTTTTGTTAATTTATTATTTTAAAATGCAGTAGTTTTGTGTTGCAATCATTGCAATGATTTCTGGTTTTTTTTATGGTTTATTAAATACTTTTCATGATACTTTACATATTTAGATAGATTTAATTATTAATGTATGTTTGCTAGTAAAATGGAATTACTAAAGTACTAAAGAACAGTTGGAATTTATTACATGGAAGTTTTATAAAAAAAATCTCAAATTACTACGCAATGTCATCATGTTCAATGTCTACTTTGAAAAAAAACATTGTTTTGTATGATACCAAAATTAATTTTTATTTTATACTAACCCTGTTTGGACGTATTTTATATCCCAATTTGCCGGTTTTAATTTAATTCAAATTAACTTTTAGATTTGTAATGAATTATTTCGTCTTTATACACCACTATAATATAGTTTGTGTTTCGAGACCATTTAAAGGGTCTACAATTTAGTGTTAATGTTCGAAGTTGTTACTGCTTAACTTTAAATAAGTGTTTTATATTTCTGGATGTATTGTGACTTGTACTTTTTTTTAAATATTTAGTAAACGACACTTATTGACATTTATTTTTACAAAATTGTGTATATATATACTAAAATATAGTATCAAGCCACTACATAATTCTAGTTTAGCGACCCATAAATATTTATTTATTTTTTTATTTTAGCAAATTACGTTTTTGAGTGTTTATTAAAAAAGTAATAAAAAAAATTCTGACTAACTTCGTTGTGGGGGAAAACTTTAAAAATTAAGTTCTTTTAACTCATATTTCCTAGTTAGAATTTAATACTTACTTAAATTTGTATTCACAAAATATGTGGTTTTCAATGGTTAATTAATTTGTATATTCAAAACTTATTTATCATGCTTACTTTTAAAGTTTTGTGCATAAACTTCATGAATACTGTTTTTAGAATAAATCCAAAATGGGTTTGAAATTATATATTTTTGATGAGCAGAAAAAATGACCATGGAAAAAAAACTCAAAAAATTAAACACATCCTGGAAAAAACTCACAAAAGTAAAGTCTATGCAAAGTCCATATGATTATATTATATTATAATATTTTCTCGATTAACTCGAAAAAGTATAATACATATAGATATCAGATAATAATTATAAATAATAATAATGATAATATTTTCAATTCTTAAACTAATAATAGTGACTCTAAAACTGTAAAATTAATTTCTTATAATTCATTTTTTTTCCAGGTTTCAAACATGTCATACCGTAGGAAAAGTGCAACAGAATCAAAACCACAGCTTAAAGAAAAAGTTGTACAAATCTATGAATCAATTTTTAGAGTATGTTTTTATTACATATAACTCACCTATTTTCAGCCTAACCTATATTCAATATTATGTTTTATTCTTAACAGTTCTAGATACTTATCTAGTTATAAGTTGTATTAACTTAGCAATGATTTCTTTTAAGTTGAAGTAATAACTTATAATTTTATTAAACCCATATTTTTAGAAATTTTGGTAAATAACATTTGCAATTTTTTTTTTTAAATTAGTATCTACTTGATAATTATATAAACAAATTTGAAAATTTTGTGTGTAAAACAATATAATTAGTAATAATTCATTCTAATATTTTAATTTTTAGTATTATTACTTGCATTTTATATAAAAATGTAATTTAAGGTTTTCAATAGGTACTTTAAAAGGGAATCTAGGATATTTTGTCTCAGCTGCTTTTTCTCTATTTAAAAATAAATTAGCTTAGCGGTTTTCAAATTTGTTTTCCAGTAGTAACTTTTTTGGATTAAATTTAATCATTTTAAGCATACAGCTGACTTAATACATTTTTTATAAGATTCAATTTAAAATAAACAAAAATTTATAAAAAAATTAAAATAAACTATAAATAATTTTATATAACTTATAGTACCCCTGGCCACCTCGATTCACAGGTTGGAAATCGCTGAATTAGCTAGTTTAACTAAATAATTAGTTTTGTTGAGCTGTAGGATATTTAGTCTTGCAAGATTTCTATTAGAAACCAAATTTAGTTTCATTTTTATCACAATTGATCTATCCAGTGGCATACTTAAGAATTTTTAATGGGACGGGATGTAGTAAGTACAATTTTAATATCTTCTCTACCCAACTCAATTATATGAATTGATAATTTAAAATCGGGATCCTAAAAAATGCCAATTTCCATTCAGTACATCAAGCTTTTCCTAGTAATTTGGCTGAAATACATACATTTCAATATTAAATTACTGATATTTGTATTATATTTTTAAGTCAATAGAGTGGGGGGTATATACCTCTTAACTCTTACCATTTATGAGATATGAAACTCTTCCCTACTTCTCAGGTCTAAAATTTAAACTGTTATAACTCAAATGATAAATCTGATATTAGTGTTATACTTATTAAATACACTCAAATTCTTTGAGAAAATTGATGTTTCATGATAAAAAAGACATCCTAGGATAATTGAGATCGTTACAGCCACTGTTATAGATAATTTAATGTATATCTGTAAGCAACTATAAACCATTGCTTATGAAAAAACGATTTTGAGCGATAGTTGATAGTGATGCTTTGTCAACAAAATATATGTTATATTATAGAAAAATAATTAAATATAGGATTTCTGTATTTTATTTAATAATATTTGATTAATGTTGTACCGATTTTCCCAGTTTTCCTACATTTTTTTCAGTTTTCCCATGTTTTTTTTGATTTTTTCATATTTGCTGGAAAACTCTTGGGTAAATCAAATGACCTTCTTTAAGTACTTCCTCACACAAATTTCTTTTCAAAAAAGATGCTATACTTGAAAATCGGAGCAATACCTCTGGTTGTGTGCAGATAAAAAAAAACATTTTTGTAAAACCATAAGTTTCTTCGCTTCACTCAGAATCTAAATATTACTCTATTTCATTTGGCCCATTATTAAAATTTAACAACAGCCCAAGAGTTCCTTACACTTATAGTTATAGCTGCAAGTTATTGTTACTGTTGCTTAAAACTATAGAAATAAATAAATAGTAATAATAATAATATTAAGTTCTAAAACTATTTCAAACTTGCAAAAATATATTTTTTATTATTTTAAAACTTATATTATTCTGGTTTGTGATAATTAAGCATTATGTGTATATTTGTCTACTAAAAATAATATTTTGAATATTGTTTTTATTTAGGGTGATGATATTTCTAAAGAGAAAGACAATTTTTGGGAAGATTTTTTTCTATTAAAACCTAAAGTATTTGTTCTTATTTACTTAATTTACAAGGATTATATATTTATAACTTATCTATTGTAATGTAGGTGTCATATATTGAAACAGAAATAGAAAAGTTAACTGCCATACAATTAGTTTCACTACAAGACAATATACGGCTATTTTTTAACAAATGTATTGAAATATTTGATAGCCAACATAAGCTTCGGATAATTTTCTCATTAAAGGTAACATTTAATTCTTCAATAATTATTTATTTAATTGGTAAACATAACATTTATTTATTTTGTAATTGAGAAATAAACAAAATTATTCACTGAGAAACTACACCTACAAATATCGAGGAGTTTAGGATTACTTAAGAAACTATATTTTGATAAAAAAAAAAAGAGACCTTGCACTATACAATGGTGGATTTAGATTTTTAATATTATTTCTATGAAAATAGTTATTCAAGTTTTAAAAAACGTATAATTATTAAATTTTAGAATGATAGTAACTTTGTTTGTATTTATAGTATTGAAAAAATAAAACTTGCACCCTGCAATTTCTCCTTTTTATGATGATTATAATTATCTGTTGACTTCACTATTAGGTCTATATACTAAGTAGTTTCTGCTCACATAAAACAGTTTTTACAGTCAAATTATTAGTAATAAAATGTAAAATTTATAACAATTGTAAAAATTGTTATATATATATATATATTATATGATATAACATTGGTTTATTTGTTTGATCATATTTATTTATGTATCAATTTTATTTTTAGACACTGACAAGTTTAATTGGAAGTTTTTATAAAAAATATAGAATTGACCCAACTTTTGAATTCTTATCAGTTTTAATTGTACCAAAAGACATGGATAACATTTTTGAAGTTCTACTCGGAAAATGTAATATAATGTTACGAGGTAATTTAAATTATATTTATTTAATCATTATCATATTGTATTAGTTATACCAAGAACAATAAATCAACTTGTAAAATATAATATGTATAATATATTATACTTTGTTTAATCTATTATACTTCAAGAACAAGAATGTGTTATAATCAAAGATCTATGCCTACAATTTTTACTGACAATTGTGACTGGAACAGATAATTTGAATGAAAATCCAGCTCTGTGTCATTTGATGACAAACAGTGTTTTTGAGCCATTGACAGAAGTATTAACTAATATTGTTATGTAATTAACCTACTGATGTGTACATTTTTTTGTACAGGGAATTTCAAATAATGTGTACCAAACATACCAAGGTTATGATTCTATATTATTGATGGCTTTGTTAATGAATGTTGAAACAGCTAAGAAAACAAATCCATATATAGTCAAATTATCTCTATTAGACAAAGAAGATACATTGAAAGGCTATAGCCAGGTAATTGATATACTTTTAAATATTTCATTAGAAAAATATTTTAGTCAATGGACAAGAATATTACTTTCAGTGTATAAAACTGTAATCAGATATTTTTGGAAAACATACCCATTTTAACTGGTTATATCTATTTGAGGAGGCTTGTGTATGTGTGTGTGTGTGTGTGTGTGTGTGTAATTGTGTAATTGTGTATGTAATATTCCTTCTTACCTTGTAAAGACCTAATCTTTTATAAATAAAGTGTTATTCAATTTTTCTTAATCTCTAGTGTCATAGGTTAGGTGATGTCTTGTAAAAAAAATAATGGGAAAAGAAGGTGAAAATAATCAAATATTATATGTCTGTACTACCAGTTAAACACTGTTAGTTACTATGTATACATCTATAAAGTTTATATACTAAGCCTAATAGTATTTTTAATTTAACAATATATTGTTACCACTCCACAGTATACCAGTATTATCATATCAGCTAACAAGAAAAAATTAAAGAGAAATGTAATAAAACAACTTTTATTTAAATTTAAAGTTAAATTTTAAACATTTCACCAGCTCAGCTTCAGGTTTTTTAGCAATAACTTAAACAAATAAAAAAACTTCACAACCTATAAGAGTGATCTAAAATTAATGAAATAAGAATCACACTAATTGAACAGAGCTTGTTTGCAGAATGAAGACTATCCTTAATATTCTCTGTATAAGACTTTGGTCTTAGTCTTCATCACTAAAGTCAATTGTATTTGCTTAGGTTAAGATATTTTTAAACTCAAACTTAATTCAAAGAATTTGGTAAGTAGTCAGTAACCACTATCAGGCATTTGCAACTAATGAATCTGTTGATTAGGTCTGACTGTTTATCAAATTCTTTAAATTATGTTTAATTTAAAAGTAATAGTTTTGTAGTTTTTCATCACAAAATGACAGTGGTAAAGACTAAGACTTGATCTCATACAGAGAACGCAATATATTATATATGTAGAAATATTATGTCAAGCCTGCCCAACTATAACCATTGCAATTATACTGTAAAAAGCAATGATAAATCTGATTCCCTTATATCCTGTGACATCTGTTCATATAACTTCCATGTAATTTATTCAGATTTAACAGCTACAGAATTTAAATGTATTTAGCTTAAATCAAGAAAACTAACATTTTCTGTGCATGGATTATAAATATAGCCTAGTTAAGTTACTGTTAAAGCTTAAATCATTAATAAGAGACTTAAAAACTGATCTTAATAATATAAAACACAATAGACCAAAATCTCTACAAACCATCATACCAATGACATTATTAATGAAATTCAACAAGGCAAAGAAAAGCTAAGACTATTATTGCCTATATTGTGTCTAAATCAAATTCTATGGATACCAAGTTAAAATAAATGATAATGTTTCTATTAAAATTAATGTTTACTGCAATTTAAATATAAAATCATTAATACTTGTAAGATTAGATAAACCGGTACATGGAAAAATCCAGCCACTGAAAATATTCTAAGGCAATAAAACAGATTTTTATTAATATATTAAAAAGATTTAATATCAACAGTACTCAATGGTTTACTTTAAAGCTGACCTCATAAAAAAACAATAACACCTAACAAACCCCAGAGATGAAATTAAATGCAGAATCAGTATTTGAGAAACAGATCTTACTATAAAAAATATAATAATAGATGTACTAAAAGTTATAAGAAATTGTCAAAAACCGATTTAAGGTCCAACTAATAACTCTCTTATATCACTCGTATTACCAAAATATTTGAGGCATTAGAATAAAACTGCATGATCCCTTTTACAAATTTGTGTATGTTCACAGAACCTTAGTGAAATAATATTATTTTCCATGCTTAAATCAACATATCAAAGCACAATATTTTTAGAGCAGACAAAGATGAAACTTTTAAAGTTTAATTAGAGGAAGTGGTGTACTCATAGCCATTCATAATAACTTAATATAACTACATAAATTGAGTATTCATACATTTTGAATCTGTTTACATTCATGAAAGTGATGGTACTTTTAGATAAGGAAAAACCATTTTATTTGGAATAATTACTCAAAACATGCCATCATTTTATGTGACAATTTCAATGTGCCTCATGTTGAATAAGATATTGGCTCATACCATTTAAAATATATCTCACCTGAATATCACACATTTTTAATCAATACTATGACTAATAATCATATACATTAGTTAAACAATATATCTAACTGTGATAATAGAATATTAGATTTAATATTTTCCAATTCAATAAAAATATAAGTGAAAACTTATATTAGTTAATCAAAGTGTATAACTGTGATCATGGTATTGATTTTATAAATTATAAACAAGCTAACTACAAATAAATAAATAATCAGTTATCCTCAGTTAATTGGGAGTTTTTATGGAATTGAATGGAAATTATTGAACGCACTGGTCTACATTGGAAGAGCCTCCATATTATTTCTAAAAAAATATTATAATACCTCAATAAATATTTTTCAATAACAATACTAACACATCAATACAACAAATATCAGATCAAAGTATATATGGAACCTCACTTAAATTAAAAAACAATGCATCATGTCAATACAAACTAACATTAATATTAATAATCAATTTACTATTTTCAGTCTAAAATATGTAACTAATGTTTTAATAAATGTCAAACAGTATGAGGAGTTTAAAATAAGACTGGTGGATTGTTCATCTTAGATGTGCACAGGTAAAACAGGTGTGGGAGGTACTATGGTGTATGATTTTTGAGGATGATATAACTTTGATAGGGGAAAATCTTGAGGAAATTGAGCACCTGAAGGAAAGGGAAGTATGAGTTTGGGGAAACAGGAGAAGACAGCTAACAACAATAAGTGATAGAATTGAAGAGGTTGAGAGATTTAAGATTTAACTTAGGATATTTTTTATGCAAAATAATAGTGGCTTTGTGAGGATATGAAACAAAGGATTAAGTGTGGTTAGATAATGTGGAGAGAAGTGTTAGGTGCTTTATATTACAAGACAATTCCAATAAGACTTAAAGTTAAGTCTACAAAAGTGTGGTGAGACTGTTTATGTTGTATGGTTTGATATATTGAGTGGTTGGCACAAAAATAGAACAATGAATGGAATGTAGTAGAGATCATAATGCTTAGGTGGATGAGTGGAGTGGATGAGGGAAGATACAATGAGTACATAAGATATAGTTAAGATTTAGTATCGATATTTGGCAAAATTAGAGAAAATAGACAGATTGTTTTGGAATACTATGAGAGGAATCAGATGCAGTAAGAATTGTAATGCAAATAGACATAGGAGGAAAAAAGGAAAGAGGTGGTTGGATGGAATTGAGAATGATATAAAGATAACCAGAGTTTATGAGGTAGGTCAAGTAGAAGTTTATAACAATGATAGTGGTTGACCCCAAATAGTTGGAATAAAGGAAAATGAGAAGAAGAAAGAAGTATGTTTTAATAAATGTTAATACATCAAAAAAATCAGAACCAGACTATATATCTCCCTTTCTATAATTACAAATAAACATTAACTGTACCACTATATTTACTTTTCAATCAATCACTAAAACAAGGAATTGTACAATATTTAGAAAACACATAAAAGTAGATCAAAATTAATCACTGATAATTGCTGACTTATCACAATCTTATATCAATCTTCATTTGAAAAATAGTTATAAACAAATTAAATCAAGATCTATAATAAATTATAAATATAAATCAATATTCACTAACCTTTTTCAATTTAATTTCATTAATGATGAATTTATGGAAAACAAACAAGTAAAAGTAATATACACAGATTTAAGCAAAGCATATGATTGAGTTAATCAAAATATATTTATCCAAAAACTATAGATTGAATTTATAGGTCTATATAAAAACATTCAACAGGGTCTCAAAGCCTAATTAAATTTTGTAAAGTTCAATAGTACTATTTTTAAATCTGTAAATACAATAATAATATTAAACTCACCTTATTTTATATTGTTCAGTTGTGAGAGGTGCGCACAAATTTGTCTAATTTTAGGAAGGGCTTGAATAAAAAGAAGTTAAGAAACCACTATAATTTGGAATCCTTTATTTATTGTATACATTCTAAAGATTGAAAAAGTAAAAAAGACATTTTTTAAATTCATGAGTTATAAACAATTTTATACAGACAAATATATTCAAGATATTTCCTTGATATCCTAAAAACCAGAGGAACTAAGTAAGAGTTCCGTGTACTCAGGAAACCCACGCTGCTTGAACACCTTATACCTAGTCCTTCTTTAAAATAGAGTATAGTACAAGGATTTATTGTAAACCAAATTTCTGTGAATAAATTATCTACAAATTAAGGCCTTCAATCTTAAAATTAAATCAATTTAAGAGTAATATCCAGCATATATCACCAGAATTACATATTACTATTAGTCTATTGAAATATCTATATTTATTTTTCTAATTTTCTTGTTCTCTCTTCTATTTATTCTCATTTTTGTTTAATTATATCAAATGTCTAAGTTTTATTATGTTTTATTTTTTTTTTGTATTTACTAAGAGAGTATCTACCATTGATTTATATGAAAAAAGAAAATACATTTTTTTAGTAGATAACATAAATACTTTTTAAAACATATTTAATTTAATTTGAAATGGGATATTTAAACTATATAATATTATATTTTATCATAAAAAAAAACCCTAAAATATTAGTATATGTTTTTTAAAAGTAATTATTTTAAAGATTATTAGGTGGTCATTAGAAGAAATATGTCAACAATATAAATCTGAAGAAATAGCACAATATTCTAATAATACATGGTTTAGCACAATTACTTCTGTTGTTAGTAACATGCTGTTTGTGCCGGATCCATCTGAAAAAAATAATATTAAAATCCCTCAAGAAATCAGGTATTTACTTATGTACTTAATTGTTAATTTTGTATTTATATTACATTTAATTTTATTGTCATTGTTGTGTTATAATATATAATGCAAAACTCCCATTAAACAATCTTTTTAATGATATCTTTTGTTTTTTCTTTATGAATACTTTTTTAACAAAAAATTGAATGTCAAAATAGTTTTCCTTAGGTATTTAAAAACCTGTATTATTTTGTGATTATTGTGCTTCTGTTAAATCAACAGTAAATAATTAACATTATTGGTATCTTTTATATTCCAATAATTTAATTCATTGTATAATACTTATGTTTATATTTTAATTCTCTTAATTGCAGGTCAATGAGTGGAATATTGATTGCATTATACAAAGCTGTACATTACAATCGCAACTTTATGACAGTATTAACAAATTTTCATGTATCTGTTAATTATGAAAGCCACCCAAGTGTAATGCAACAAACACATCCTGTTAATAACTCCTCTGATCTCAAATTGCCAAAAAATAATCAGTTTTCTAATCTCCTTGTCACATTCTTTCAATATTGGTAAATTAAATATTTAAAAACATTTATTTTATAAAATATTAAAAATCTATAATAATCTATAATTCTATGTTCATAGTTCAATTATAATGCAAGATACAAAGACTGAAGAAAATTCAAATAATTCGATGCTCTGCTTTGTTATATTGTCAAGCATAACAAATGACCAGTTTGCAAATTCATTAATGCATGACATAAATTTACAATTTAAAGTTGATTTATACAGAATACCCACTAGACGGTACATGTTTATTCCTGATAAGTCACCCAAACCTTTAGCAGCTGCATTATTAGGTATTAAAATATTATATATCATTTATCACATGTATATTTTATAAAACCCATAAGTACAAAATATATTTTTATATATTACAGATTTAATGATAGAGTTCATTTTGGGGCATATGATGAAAAAATTGCCTTTAGATCAGTACATTAAATGTGTAAGCATCATCCATAGAATAATTTGTTATCAAAAACGAAATAGTGTACGCTTATGTTATAATTGGAAATATTTATGGAATTCTTTAATTACACTATTAAAATTTCTTATGACATATGAACATCAACTTTCTCAAGATATAAATATATACGATTTGGGAATACAGGTATGTAAATATTTTTGAAATTGTCAAATAAAATATGTCTATTCAAAATTTAAGACATGTACTATATTAAGTATGTATTATATTTATTAGTGTTGAGTTTTTGACCATTTAACATTTTGTATAGGAATTGTAGTTACACATCAAATTTGAATAAAATATATATATATTTTTTAAATAGTTGTAACATTTTTGTATGACTTTAAAAAAACTGGGATCACAGAATTAAGAAATATTCTTCTATTTTAAATTTAATTTGGTATTTATATTTAACTTATTTGAATATCAAGAGGATATTATTCCAGTATGTGCTGTCATAACAAATTAACATCTAGTAAAATATCTATCTCATTTCTGTGATATTAGTTTTAATGTTAGAGTTAATCTATTATGAAATTAATGATAATAATATTTTCTGTGTAACTCAGATTTACGGTTTTCAGCTACCAATTTTATAAATAATATTTTTAAGAAGATATGACTGTAAAATATCACAATTTAGAAATACCTATATTTTGCTTGCAACATGAGATATTGAAAAACTGTATGTAGTTGAAAAGATTACCTTAAAGTTTGATAATAAGTCAATTCTCTGTAATATTTAAACTAATATCACAGAGGTCAGAGTTGTATGTGTACAACTTCTAACCACAGTTGATGTTTTAAGTAACATAATTTTGCTATGTTGTCCATTGATTAAACCCTTTAGTGCTGTGTTACAATGGATCACAGTGGTTATTAAACCACATTAAATATAATGCTTTTTTACTAATTTGCTGTCTGATACCCATTTAGAATATATCTGATATAAGAATATGTCTATATCTGATTGAACAACTTTCATAAAGGACTTGACAGTCTTGTCTTGTGGTTCAACTCTATAGACTTAAATTTTGCCAGTTAATGTAAATCAATGTCTTTCACAAGGATTAAAACTACTATTGACTATTAACACCTAATTTACTATTGTTGTGGCTATTATAATCTGTATTTTGCTCTTCTGCACTTTTAATTTTAAAAATTCCCTACCCTCCGCAAGATTATAGTCCAGTAATGGATAAGCTCCTACTTGTCTAGCAGATAGAAGAGTGGAAGTCAATTTAGTGTTTTTATATAAACTAATTTATGAACATGTAGATGCTTCTATTCTCCTTTCCTAAATTAATTTAAGGGTTTCAACCAAAGCTGGGCAAATTACTCAACTTTAGTAACTGAATAAGTTACAATTACTTTCCTTAGTTAAGTTACACGGTTTTAAATAAAACAAAGAACTACTTAAGTTAGTAGTTACTAAGAAAACATTTATAAATTACAAAGTTACAAGTTAGTTTTTGAATTTTTTTTAATTGGCTTTTATTTTTTTAATACTAGTAGTTATAATATTATAACTATTATAATATAATATATTATTATTACTCGTCAAAAATGTATAATTTATAGTTTGTATTACTTAAAGGTTTTAGAATAACTATCACTAATATCTGAAAAAAAAATTTGGTAAGTGTGGTTATTTTAATGTTGGCTCAGCTATTGTTAATTGTGTGGATAATTGTTATATTGTAATATTTTTAAATTATATAATTCAGATCACTTAATCACTTTATTAATTCACATTAGATGACTAGTTTTTGGAAGAATAGATAAGATAACTAGAAGATATAAGATAACTAAGAATAGATAAGAATGAATTCATGTTAAAAATGATTTTTCCATAGTACCAACATTTTATCACATTGTATTATGTAAAAATCAAGGTATTAATACACCTTCATAGAAGAATATTTTCCGACCATCATGATAGTGCATCAGTGCATGTCAATACCTTCAAGAAAAAATTCTGAGTTGCAAGATATTGGTGATAAAATGATGAAAACTAACTTGTAAATTTTTTGATTCAAATAAGTAACTCATTAAGGAAGTTACTCATATATATGCACAAAAAGTAACTAGTTGAGTTTTAAGTTACAAGAATTATAAAAGTAACTTATAAGTTATAAACTTCCTAATTTTTGTAATTTAGTTATTTTGTACAACTTTTTAATTAGTTACTGTTCAGCTTTGGTTCCAATATATTCAACTAGGTCCAAATATTTTTTATTATTTCCTTCCACACCATTAATTATGGTAGGAACCTGTTGACCATATACAAAATAATCATTGAAATAAGGTTGCTCTAGACATGATGGTTCCCTTCCCCACAAGTCATGGTTTTGACCCAAACAAATTTTAAAGGTTCTTAAGGACCCCAGATCCTTAGATCCCAGACAACTAATTAAATTATAAAGGTTTCTATAATTACAATTTAAATGCTATTAATCAATTGAATTTATATAATAATAAATATTGAATTGTTTTTTTATTATTTTTTTAGGTAGTAAATATTTTTAATTTATTTATTACTTATGGAGATATGCTTCTGCCTTCACCAAGCAGTTATGATGAATTATATTATGAAATTATTAGAATGCATACAGTTTTTGACAATTTATATGTATTATGTAAGACTGAATACAATTATATTGTAATTTTTTATATTACAAAATAGTATAGTAAAAAATTTGAATTTAATTAAAATTATAGCTTCAAGAAACTCTACTGCAGCAAATGAACACAAATACTCTGCTACAAAATTGTCAAATAGTTTAATTAATATAAGGTTAGAATTTTTAGTAATTTTATAAAACTAATAATATTGAATGAAATATTTTTTAAATTTTCAGAGCCATTATCAATCATTATATACCAAAAATAGATAATTATTTAGAAAAAAATTCAGTAACAACTCCTATTGGTGAAGATGTTAGTATTCTAATCTTGACATTTTATTCAATTTCTTGTTAAGATTTATACTTTATATTGAAAAATTATAATTTAGTCACAACTATTAAAAATGTATTAAAATAACAATTACATTATAATCTTTATTCTTTACTATTTAATCATTTTTAATTTTTTGCTTTTGTATTTTTATTAGATATTAGAAATAGTCAGAAATAATTATGATACTCTCACATTGAAACTACTTGACTGTTTGGGAAATTTTGAATCAAACAAGGCCAATCATGATTTGACAAGCTCACCTCTCATCAAGCTAATGGTTAGCAAAGTAGTTAAAGATACTAGACAGTCATTAAAACATTCCACCTTGGACCTTCAACAGATTCTTCAAAATGTTTCACTATACACTAATCTATCTTAAAGTTATTTATACAAGCAAAATGAGTATTAATAGTCATATAGAGAAGTCACTACTATATTTGTATCAGTGTTTTCCAATCAGTGTACATAGGATTATTTGTATGATAAAATCGATCAAAAGTTATCAGTAAGTTAAAGGTGCAGGGTGTGCATTTTCCATGTTTATATACAATTTAAATATCATTGATAGCAAAATTCTTATCAATTAATGATGTTTGATTACATTTAATGTTTAATATTTAGTTTCAGTTAGGAACATAAAATAATTTCTGTTTGAGTTATTGTTTCAGTTACAATTATTTTCATAGAATTATACATACCATATAATATTATTATTAGTCTACTTATAATCATTATTTCAGTTTAGGATGTCAGTCAAAGAAAATGTATATGAATATAATAAAGAAATATACTGAAGGAATGTTTACATTATTTGATTAGTTATGAATCTTCTACAATATTCTGATGAAAAAGTAATTAAATTAAAATATTAAGTTATTAATATAGGATCTTTTATTCTACAAAAGTAAAACAATGGTGTTACAATAAATAATAATTGACTAGTAGTTCGAAAATTGAAATATTTATATTGTTAGTTAGCAAATTAAATGTGAGATCATATGGTCAAAAGTTGAATATGTTCAACAGTAGTAATGTGTGATAAAATAATTATATATTATGTATGGTATACTTCAATGTAACTGTGTGGTTTCTTAAAAATTAAAAGTCAGACAAAATTAGGTCATAATTTTATGTAAAAATATAAGGGTTGTGCATTTGTCAAAATAGTGTGATCATTTTTAGAACAATTATGCTAGTTTTTTTTACAGAAAAATGCAAATCAAATTGTTAATTTTAAGTATTTTTTATTTGTTTTGCAAATTCTCTGGTAAAATAAAAGCTGATTGCATACAAATTTGATTTTATTTTTTGTTCCATTGAACTTGTTATAATATATTATGGTCACATTTTGTTTTAAATTCTGAGCATAACGAGGGAGCTATTGGTTTTACTAAGGTGTTTATTTCTTTTTTTTTGCTAGTGGACACGTTTTTTCCAAGTAAACTTGCTTCAATTTTTACCTGTAGCAACTTTTCTGAAATCTCAAGTTATCTTGATGGTACTCCAAGGTTTCATTTTTTGATTTTTGATTCCATTTTTTAAATAAAAGCACTTAAATGGGAAAAAACGACGTCAGCAATGACCAAAAAAAAAAAAAAAAAAAACAATAATATAATAACACGGGGTATAATAATTGTCAAGAAACCGGTGCGCAGCGTCAAGAAAAGGTGGGTTCATCGTGAAAATTATGAGTATTTTTGTCTTTTTAATCGGTTGTATTATTCGGGGAGAAAACGATCGGTAAGCGCCATTGCCACCACCGACGATGTCGATGTTGCCCCTTTTTTTCTTCTTTCGATTCGTTTTGATTCGTCGCCATTAAATCGGATCGTCTGTGTATACATATATAGGTATATGATATAAAATCGTATTATCCTTTACAGTATTATTATTTTCACTATAATGTCTATACATAGTAATAAATACGCACTTGTACGAACGTGTCCAAAGTCCCTTTTTTTTCGTTACTTTCTTTGACACTGCCGCCGCCGCCGCCGCCGTTTTTCAAGACGTTATTATCGTCGACGACGTTTTTATAATTCCTTTCTTTAACATTTCATGTACAATTTTGTACGCATGCATTATGGTCGTGGTTTTGAAATCTTATAATCTTGTATTATTATTGATTTAACTCACTTATATATATATAAGAGATACATATCATACATTTATACAGAGTGCCCTATGAAGATATCCCCATTGTGATATTTTCAATAATAGTGTAGATAATGAAATTCTGATTTATCATTATTATTTTATATTCTGAGAGGAACGAGGAATGTATTGGTTTTACAAATTCGTTTATTTTTTTATATTGTGTACAAAAATTCTACCAAAAATCTTGCTCCGAAGTATCAAGTGTAGACCCTTTTCTAAAAAAAATTCGGCGGGGAGGGTAAAACAATTTAGAAAAACTTTTGGCAAACAAAAAATTTGTTTTTTCAATAAAGTATTACAAATTTGAAAAATACGCATGTTTCAAGGTACGATGTGAACCATATGAACATTTTTACTAATCTAAACAGTGATTTCCGCGAGAAAAAAAAGTACACGATAAAACTAAAAGCCTCTTTGCTATAAAGGTTCTCAGAATCTCTAATTATATAATATACTCTATATATAGGTACATAATACTATAATAATTTAGTATGTTGATACATTAATACATTATCGTATATTGTTACGTTTACCTATATTAGATTCCGAGCGTAGCGAAGGAACTATTGGTTTTACTATGCCGTTTATTTTTTTTTTCTTCTCTCCTAGTCGGTGGACACGTTTTTTCCTAGTAAAGTTACTCTGATTTTCACGTGTAGCAACTTTTCTGAAAGCTCAAGTTGTCTGGATGTTACTCCATGGAGTCATGTTTTAAACAAAAGCACTTAAGTGGGAAAAAACGTAGGAAAACGTATAATTTCACGATTTCATTATTTTATAAGCACACGGACGACGTTTTCTACCAGAAAAAATGATTTAATCTAAAAATCACAAAATACCTTTTTTTTGTTGTATTTTCGGTTTACTTTCTTGCGGTATTATGACTAAAACTTAAGAGGCTCTTAAGGAATTTTAATTTTTAAGAGTTTTGCTGTAATTCGGTTATAAATACATGTAGAGACGTGAAACTTGGTAATAATACTTATATTAGACTTACCTAGACGTGGTAACATTTTAAAAATAATCGAATGACTTTTTTTTTATTTAATAAGCGTTTTGAAATCAAATTTAAACGAAAATCGTAAAAAAAATTACGACACTTCAAATTATGTATTACCGATCTGCGGAATCGTTTTTCATCAAGCAATTTTTTTATAATTGCTTACAGATATAAATGAAATAACCTTATATATCCTACCATCCCAACTTCTCACTTACAACAGTGACTGCTCCCATACCTGGGGATGGAAAAAAAAAATGAGCTGATATTGGTATAAACTCTTTCTTTTTTTTTAAACTACACAAAAATTTTACAAAAAATCTTGCTGCGATATGTATATGTGACACCATTTCTGAAAGGAAATATTGTTTATATGATACTTTAGGGCGGACATTTTTTTTAATTTTCCAAGCAGTTTTCATAATATCTGGGAAAATCGGGATAAAACTTAAGAAAAATGGGAAATACTTCCTCAGTATCAGCTCTTTTTTAAATTTTTTTCTATACAATTTTAAAACAAATATTAAATAATTTTGATCGGTTTTATGATATAAATACTTACTATGTGTTCTGGTTCTAAAGATAGTTTATTTATGCACAGAAAGTTAATTTATTAATGAAATAAAAGTGTTCCCTGACTCATAATAAGTTTTATAATATCTTGAAGGTTGAGAAACACTGATTTGTATAAATTTGATCAAATATGATTTTTGAATTTTTTTTTTTAGATTATATCGCTTTTTCCAATTGAAAGTTAAAATGTATAAAAATTTAATTTGGTCAAATTAAATAAACAAATTCATGATTTTAATTATTTTTTATATTTAATTTGTGTGTTTCAGTGGCGTATATAAGAATTAGTTTCAGTATAATCCAAATTATTACTAACCTAGTTTTAACTTAAAATTTGCGAAGAGAAGGGTGGTGGGATGCTAAGTTTATATATATATATATATACACACACACACATGTATATGTCATATACAATACAAGTACTTACAAATTTCTCAATAATCAATATTAGGAATGTGTACAATATTTTCAGCAGAACAAGTATGGTTGTAAATTAATGTTTATAACATAATTGTGAAATTTTTTTTCTAAAATAAAGACTGCAGCACTATCTTAGCAGTCCTTATTTGGACCAAATGAGTTTAAACTCAGGAATCAGATTGTTTGAAGTTTTTTGTGGAATTTTGATTTGAAATTCACTATGTAGTAGGAGGAATGTTTTTTATATGTTTGACATTGATATCAATAGTGTTGTTTTTAGGGATTTCAACTTTTAACCCCCACTCCTACCATTTTATGCTCAAATTTCACCCTTTGGGGGAAGGGAAAGTACTATAGTTTTTTTAGTATAGTATTCAGTTATTGATTTAAAAACAATATTTTTAAAATACAAAATAGCTAGGGAAAATTTGACAGAGTTCTACTGCTTATTTTTTTTTAAAAGCTTCATAAGTGTTTTTTGAATTACTCTCAGAAGAATTTACACAAAATAGTTCACCTTTACTGCAGACAATTACCTATCATTCACATTCACCTATCATAATTTATTTATTATAGTTATTAAAGTTCTATCTATCTAAACTATCTTTAATAGTATGTATAAAATGTTTTAATTGATCCTGACATTTCACTATTGGCCCAGGTTCTGTCTTATATACGCCACTGTTGAATTTTATGCATTAAATTATGAATTATTATTTATCTACCATAAATATGTTGTATATTTATTATTGATGCCTTTTACTTCTATTCATCCTTTTCTTGTACTCATTGAATTTTGTATAGTAAAAATACATAATAAAATACATAAAATAATATTTGTTATATAATTTTAAAATATTAACATAAAAGGAACACAAATATATGCAAACAAAACTTTCATGTACAGTTTTGAATAATTTATAACATTACATGAGATCCTTTCCAAAATTAAAGTTTTTGTTTAGAGTTCACAAAATTCTTACAATTTATTTACCTATATTTCACAATGAGATTTAGTTAATTTTAAATAAAATAAATTTGGGAAAAAAAAAATTAAACTTGGGACTACTTTATCATATTTAATTTCTACATACAAGTCTATTAGCCTGACATAATTGAAAAAAATATAGGGTGTGTTGACTCATATACAGGCTGTCTCATGAAGATATACTTCTTCAATATCTCCTGAAATAATAAAGATAATCAAATTCTGTTTTATTTTTTATTACTTACAAAGGGATGAGAACTAATTTTTTTCTTAATAAAAAAAATAACTATATTTTATTATTTTCGGAAAATTTTAATGTATCACACATTTAGGCTGGGTTCATATAGACACGAATTAGCCCGCCACAAAGCCCGCGTATTAGGAAATATTGGGTTCATCTTGTTTAAAATCAAGGCTTTTTTTATGTCTATGTTACATTATAGCCATTACATTATTTATTTAATCTGTTTTTTCTCTGTAGGCCTAAAATACTGGCACTCATTACTTTAGACTAATCTGATTTTCGCCGTTTCGATCACAAAAGATACAGCATGTCAATACAAATTATTTGATACTGATATCGCCATTTTGGAAAAAAAAATGACTTTTTTGGTTTTTCCCTATACCCATCAAATATAGAACTATACATTTCTATTCCTATAAGTAAGGAATTTATTTATGTTCCTATTCCTTTCAAAAATAATGTAAACAATTCATCATTAGTTTTTCTGAAAAGTATTAATCCTAGAAATCATTCTTCTAACAACACTACTATAATATAGGAACAGCTTAACTTATGAAAATAGAAAATAATTTAATAACGAAGAGGTGAAATTAATTTTTTTTTTTTTTATTATTATTATTTTATACTCATATTTAATAACTCATTTCACCTCTTCATTATTAAATTTAAGTATAATATAATAATAATAAAGAAAAATACAATAATCATTATTGACTTTTATAGTTGAAAATTATTGAACTCCACATTTAACAATTTTTGAATTATGGAATCATTAACAATTTTTGATAAAACCTCTTTAAATAGATCTTCCATAATTAATTCTGTAATACTTGACAATAAAAATGTTTAATTGTTAAAAAAGTATTAACATAAATATATAATTAATTTATATTATATTTACTTGGATATGGTATCCACTTGAGATACAGTTGTTAAAGACATTTGCTTGAATTGTCTTTTATGTAAAAGATGGATTTGAACTTCTTCTAGATTTATATTTAAACGAAGACATCCATTTTGAGACAGACATATATCTTAAAAATATAAATTTTTTTAATAAAAAAAATGTTTTAATACCTTATAAAGTTTATTAATTTTTAAAATTTAAATTAAATTGTTTTATTATTTACACAGTTACAGTTTTATAATAAAATATTTTCTTTATAAATACCACCCTTATTTTTTAAACAATTAAAATTAGCACAGCAATTAAAGCAAAGTTAAATACTAAAAGGGAATGACATACTTCCCACTTGGGTGCAGCCACTGTTGTAGATGGGAAGTTGGGAAGGTAGAATACAGAAGGAAATAGTATATCTGTAAGCAACAATAAACCATTGCTAACGGAAAAAACAATTTTGAGCGAAGTTGATAGTGTTGCTTTGTCAACAATAAATATGTCATACTATAGTAAAATAATTAAATAGTTATTATATGTTTTCTTTAATAATATTTTTTGAATGTATTGATTTTCTGGTTTTCCTAAGTTTTTCTCGTTTTTGTCAGTTTATTTTTCGGTTTTTACATTTGTTAAGAAAACTCCTGGGAAAATTTAAAAATGACTTCCTTAAAGTATCACCCCAAGACAATTTTTTTACAGAAAAAGGTCTACATCATATATATTGAAGTAAGCATTTTGGTAGAAAGTGTTCACATAAAAAAATATAAAGATCTTTGTAAAACCAATATATTCTTCTTTACACATACATATTCAAAAATGCCAAAATATTTTGAAAATTGTACAGTGACTAGAAAGTGTTGATATAAGTATTCAGTGAATACTAAAAATGTCCCTACAATTGTCTTTACAATTATTTTTCATTAAGTTATAAAGTTACAAATCCTAAATTGACACCAGTTTGTTATTGTATAAATATCCCTGCCTCCTCCCCTGGTTTCCCTTTATTATTAACAATAGTACAAGGAAAATAAAAAAAAGACCTCCCAAACGACACCAAATAATGCTTGAAGTTACTATAGTTATATGATTATTTTTGGTCAAAAAATTGTTCACATAGAGAAAAACAAACAATTTTATCATATACCATAATAAAACAATACATCCATCATTTCAGTCAAAATTTAACAAAATGTCTAAAAGAGTAGTCTAAAAATTAACCAAATCTTGGCTACTATGAAATTCATCATACATAGTTCTAGGCTTTTTATTTAGCGTTTTTTTTTTGTTTCGTCAAAAAACTGATTACAGTATACAGTTTTTCAACGCTGAAACCTATTCCCAATTCCACTACCCTTTCTCCCTCCTACCCACTACGCAAGCCCGGTATTTCAATATTTTCTTATTTAGATTTATCAGTGCTTACTTTTTATGAAAAAATTTCTCCAAATATTTTCTTTAACAATGAACAGTTTAACATTGTTAGGTGTTTTTAATTTGTTTAATCTGAAACAATAATTTGAAATTATTAAACTATGTACTTAAATAAATTAGTTAATCAATTAAAATTATTATATTAGGTAAGTATTAATTATTGTTATTAACAAAATATGGAAATATAACACAAAAAGGTTTTTTCATGATTATTGTAGTATATAAGACCACTGTATTATTACGGGATCGAGGACGTCTTGGCAATATTCGGCGAAAGATATTTTGGCAGATTGCTTTTAGTGAATAGCTAATGGATATTTTGCTGAAACAACTTATTTAATTGGAGTAAAAATTAGATAATATTATCTGTACTTTAGTGTCAAACTTCCAGTCCTCCGTTTTATAGTCTCCAAAAATAATACTATCAATCCAAATCCTAATAATAATACCAGTTCGGCTTAACGTTAACATAATAATGTTCAAACTGTTCATAGTAACATTTTATCAAATGATAATTTTGTCTTTAATTATTTGTCTACATTTTATTCAAAAATCTCTTTTCAAAATATGTCTTATTGAACTTTGCTCCGAATCGTTTTTCGTTAGCAATAGTTTTTGTACGCATTGATAAGCATCAATGCTTACAATCACAAATTGTATAACTTCATGATTCTTCCCAACATCTACAACAGGAGCACTTCTGTCCCCAGTATCAACTTTTTTTGTTTTATTTTTATTCTAAATAAATAATCTGTTTTGCTAAAATATACAGCACGCACATAGCAAAATCGATTTTTCTCGTGTTTAGGGAGTTGTACAAAATTGTACAAAAAAAAGTACATAATACTGAGGTTTGGTATTAAAATTCGATAGTGGCATTGCTGGCAAAACGGAACTATCTTCATCTTATCTTAACTTTAAAGTACTTATCCACACCTATTTCATTTTAGAAAAGTTGCTACACGTAAAAATCAGAGCAAGTCTTCTAATAGAAAAATTTCGCACAGATAAAAAATAAAATAAAAATCTTTGTAAAATCATAAGCTTCTTCCCTACATTCAGAATTTAAAACTAAAAAGTATAATTATATCTGATGAAAAATTTAATATTATCAACAAAACAAATTATAAAATTTGGTACAAAGACATTAGTATGAATTATCAATTATGCGGTGTAAGTCGTCTGACAAGCACGCGCTTCACACGCACAATTAATTTCCCATAATATAGCATAACGATGGAATTTGATTCTGTTTTTTTTACGTATTTTGTTTTTTATTTCTTTTTTAGATTCTGAGTGGAGTATTGGTTTTAAAATGATGTTTATTTTTTTTATGTGAGCACTTTCCACCAGAAAGCTATTCCGATTATCAATTATAGCATCTTTTCTAAAAGATTAAAAATAAGGTTATCATTGGCAACCGTTTATATTTACTTTTTGTTATTATAAAGTTTTTATTATTTTAATATTTTTTAAATAATCATGGTTGTCACAGAAATGCACATAATTCTAATAATTATAATTATATTGTTGAGAGAGCAACACTATAAACTGAACTTCGCTCAGAATTGTTTTTCGTTGCTTACAGATGTACATTCAATTTCCGTCTGTATCCTATCTTCACAACTTCCCATCTATAACAGTGGCTGCACCCTCGTGCGAAGTAAGTCAGTCCTTTTTTTTGTCATTCCCAGTTTTAACTGTAATTCACTAGTGTCAATTGTATTTACTTATAAAAATTGAATAAGTCAATTATAATAAACTGTTCGTGCTTTAAATACAGGCATTGTTTTTAATTACTACGTGCATCGCGTGTGGTCTTCGACCTGTCGAAGGTCTACACGAAACTTCGATAAAGCTTAATTACCTATCTCATTATAAGCCCGTCCGTAATTCCAATCAACATAATCACGACAACTCAACAATAATTGGCACAAATACAAGTACTTCAAACACTGGTTGGTTAAAACAAATAAATAAACGTCATCACTTCAATTTCTCAAATTCACCTTTCAAACCGCCATCTCCAAATCCGATTAAAAAAAAAAAAAATAGAAAAAAATAGTTTGTTACACGTAATAGGTTGGATCTGCTTGCCCAAGATGATTTACGTGAAAACCTTTCTACTACTGAAAATATAATAATCAACTCTAAGCAGTCTGATGCTGAAAATGTAATCATCAAAAACCCCTTCTCCTATATTTTCAAAGGTGCCGAAGATTTTCCTGCACTATTTCCGGCTTGAATTGAGCTAATAGATGTTGACAATTTCTTATGCAAGTCTACAATTAACTTACTGAAAATACAAACCACGGGCTCTAGTGCATACAGAGTATTAGTACAGTTTCTCAAAACCGAAAAAGCTGAGTACTACACATACCAGATAAAAGAGGATAAACCACTCCGGATAATTATACGTAATTATACGGATTATACGGATTATACGTAATCTTTACCCATTCATACCTCTACATCTAATAAAAGATGAGTTAGAAGTTCGGCTTTATGAGGTAAGGCAAGTCACTAATGTACTACACACAGTTAATGAAAACCCCTTTCCGTTATTCTTTGTCGATCTCGGGCTAACACTTAAATCTAAATACATTTTGCAATTTTTATCACTACGGCACTGTAAAAAAAAAAAAAAGCCATACAAAACGAAAACAATTAGCTAATGTTTTAATTGCTAACAATATGGACACATCAGAGTATACTGATGAAAGATGTATAAGATGAAAAATAGTAAGACTACTAGTGGAATAGATTTGCATACCATTTTTTAATTAAGTAACTTAACATTTTGATTATTATTAATTTGTTTAATTTTGAATAGCAATTGAGATTATAGAGATTTATAATCCTCTGTATATTGTATAAACCATATTAATTAAGGTCTTAGAAAAATGTAAATTATTTAAAAAGGAACCGATATCTTTAGGACGTAAAATTGATGAAATGGGTATTTACATATCAGAGATTAAAATTGAAGTTATTATAGAGGCACATATCCAAAGGATATATCTCAACTAAAATTAATTTTAGGTTTAAGAAGATGCTATACCTGTATGTGCTGTTTCACTCCAACTAACGGGTGATATGGCAAAATCTACCTTACACAGTCTGTGTAGATCTTGCTTAGTATTTTGGTTTTAGAGTAAAAGCACCTAAGCAATTATAAAAACTAAAAAGTATAATATTTCGGAGGGTAAAATGTTTTTCATATTATTCTAATTATTATTCTGGTTTTAACGTTCAATACATCGTGAAAGAATAAAACCTAATTTATCGTTTTTAAATGACAGTAATATAATAAAGGACGAATTTAAACAAAATGCATCTTGCTCTCCGAAATATTGTCCTCTTTTAATTTTATAGTAAAACCAATATTAAGCGAGTTCTACGCAGATCACGTAAGGTCCTCTTAACAAATTTTATTATTGTAGTAAATTTATTAAAAATCAATCAACTATTCTAGTTCCATTATATAAATTATACAAATAAGGAAATTTATAGAGATGGAGTGATGAACAGGGCAAAGCGTTTGATGAAATCAAGACAATATAAAGTTTTAGCAAAGTATTAGTACACTTTGATTCAAATTTAGGAATAACATTAGCATATGATGCAAGTTTATATGATATCGGGGCGATTCTATCATATGGATTTCTAGAAGATAATGAGAAATCAATCGCATTTGCGTCTAGAACGTCGGGGGTAAATGAATAACAAAACATTTAAAATTAGATAAAGAAGTAATAGCTTTAATATTCGGAATCAAGAAATTTCATAAATATGTACATGAATTCGTTTACATTAAAGACAGATCATAAATCACTAGTAATGATATTTGGTGGAAAAAAAGAATTACAGGGATGGCAGAAAATAGGTTACAGAAGTACGCAGTAATACTGTCGGGTTATATTTATAAAATTAAATGTGTTAAAAGAGGAATGAATGGAAATGCAGACGGATTATCTCGCCTACTATTGAATGATAATACTAATGATGAAAAAAAGGAAACTTATTTGAGATTTGTAGAGAGATATCAAATTAAATGTTAAAAGCTGTCCTACGATAAAATATCTAAAATATAAAAGCAGTTGGTAATTTCAATGTACATAATATCATAATACTTACTTTGGTTTTGATGAGGTTTGAAAATTAGTTACTTCATCAGTATAATTAATAAACATATAATTTTCTATCTTTTCATCTTTGATACCTTTTTTCTCTATAGAAAGTGATTTGTTTGTTTCCTAAAATAAAATTAGGTTTTAGAATTTGTGTAGTATTTTTTTTTCCTATTCTTTATTACATTTATATCGTGTTCTTCAATGGGGTATTCTTGAATTACAGTCTTTATGTTGTCAAATGTATGATTTTCAGATACTATAGAGTTTAATAACAATGGCTTTTCATTTATTTCACTATTAGTATTACAGTCATTTTTATCAATATCCTAAAAAGAAATACATATGTATAAAGTGATACACTAAGTGTGCTCACCCCATTTATTTGGTTGAATTTTGTATGTATTCAAATTTTGATTTTTGGAATTTTTAAGTGTAGTTAAAGCCAATATTTTTGAATAATTAGATTTTTCATAAAATTTAAGAAGTGTCCTGTGGTGATACTAACTTTGATTTTTCAAACAATAATTTTTTTAATTTAAAAGTGAAATATATCGTCAACCAGTTGACGGAAATCAAAATTTTAAGACCAACATTTATTTAAAGTGATACTGTATTTATGGAATTTTTAATATAGGTTCAAATTTGAAAAACCAAAGTTGGTATCAACACAAGATATTCCTTAAATTTTATGAGAAATCTAAGTATTCGAAAATATTGGCTAAGAATTCCAAAAAATCAGAATTTGAATGTATGCAAAAATTAACCAAAACATGAGGCAAGCTTGCTTAGTGAATCATCCTGTATATTTAACATGATAAAATTATTAAATTCTCCTAAATGGTAATGTAGTATATATTATTTAGCTAGAAATTAAGATTTATTTGTTTGCTTTGTATTAAATTTTTTGATTAATATTAAATTTATATGAATAATTTTTAAAATTATCATTTTAACATGTTTGTTCATAAGTACAATAAAAAAATTAAAATTAAAATGTATTTTCTTTTTATTGTTGGCATTTGAATTATATAAATATATATTACACTAAATATATAATAATTCACCAAATCATGAAAACTCAAATTTTTATAATACTAAAAGGTTGTCAATTTCAGTATTTTTTTTGTGTGTATTTTTGTATACTCGTAATCATGATTTAATGAATTTACAAATATTTAACCAAACTATAAAAGTATTAACACTTTGTCAAAAATATGGTTCACTATGTAGTAAATAACTATATTTACTTATATATAATACTAATATAAACTTTTTTTACAACATTATGTTTACTTTCTAAAGGTTAATTTTAAAAAAGAGTTACAAATGTATAATTAGGTACTTGGTTTTTTTTTGACCATCTTTGTGCATACATTGACCCCAATTTTGGTTTAGAATGACTATACATGCTTAAACGCTTAGGATTCGATAACAAAAATTGAGTTTTAGGTTTAGCTAACGCTTTATTAGTAATCTGATTTAATACACTATTATCGTGGACTTCATCTTGGGTTTCTTTATAACCAGATTCGTCCAACATTCTGACTAATTCCTTGCAACGTGCAACTAAGTCCTATTATTAAATATCAATTAAATTTTGGACTATACTAACAAAAAACTATAACATACAAAACTTTCTTTTTTCTTTTTTTTAAATGATACACCATATATATATTTTCCGGTAGTAAATGATAAAGTTGATATTAATTGTATCAAATTTTTCATTTTACTTTGAATCGGGTTGTAAATATTGGCTTCCAAAGTTTTTGAACATAGCTAAGAGTGAAATAAAATATTAGAATATGATTATTTTGCAAATAAATGCATACATAAATACTTCAGTGGCATTAATCGCTAATTTATAACATTGGATGACCTTTATTTGAAATGATGTTTTTAACATGGCATTGGATTTATTCTTTTTAGAATGTAGATTTTCATTTTTTGATTCGTTTTTAATTTCAGAGAGCTGAAATATATATTTTGTAGTTAATATGACATATATAATAGAAATAATACAATTACATTATATTCCATTATTTATAGATTTAAATTGTATTCTGTAGTCTACTTATACAAATAATTGTCTCCGTTAAACAATAATTCAATTAATTCATAATCAAGGACTCATAAGTTTATGCATTTTCTTTAAATGTTTTTTTTTTTTTGGTATTCAGGGTGAACAATTTATCGTAAACCACTCATTGTCTTGGAAAGCATTAATTTTAAATTTGTTAAACAGAACATTTTAAAAATAAGCAGCTCTACAATTTTACATCTATGTTATTTTTTGTGATACTTATTTTTGAGAGTAAAACCACCAACTACTTTTGATTTTCAAATGGCAATCTACATTGAAAATCCCATAAATAGATGGAGTATTAGTTTAAATAAATTTTGCTGTTGAAATTTTGATTTCTGTCAATCCATTGAAGAGATATTCCACTTTTATGTTTGGGTCGGGAGAGAGAAGTGGTGCTATTATTAAAATGCTGCGTGCCGTGACCTCACACAAATGATGCTCCACTAACAAATCAAAATTATCAAATTGATTATATTAAAATAAAATCTGTTTTAGAACTTTAGGCTTTACCTAATGTAATATTTTATAAGGTTATTTGTTAGTTTTTTTATTTTTAATAGTATCGTACAAAAAATGTACAATGTTATACAATTTAGATATTATTTAACAAATAAACTTATACAAAGTCTTCAGAAGTGTTATACTCTTCATATTTAATAACAGCTTGATACATATCAAGTTAACTTCAATGCTTCAATTAAAGTTTGGTGTAGTAAAATTTTGCTATACTGCTCATTGAATATAGAGACTACTAATATGAGTGTGCTGTCGTCATAAAATAATAATTAAATAACTTTATTTTTTTTTTGTTATTTACCATTAAATTGAAATCGAGTATATAGTTTATATTTGTTTGTTGATCGCATTCTTTAATTTTAATTTGTAATTTTTTTGTGCTTTTTAAAACAGGTGGCAAAAGTGCATTTTCTAAAATAGTAGCAAATGTATTAAATGTTTTAAACAAACGACTAAAATAAAAATAAAACAAAATAAATTTTTAATGATAATATTAAAGACATAATTTTTGATAATACTTTCGAAGACCATGAATATGATTAAGATCATAAGGATCATGCAATGAGCTAAAATTCGTGACAAATTGGCTGTTAGCAAACTTATTAAATGGTGGTTCATTTTGTTTAACTTCTGCGTTATTTTTTATAGAATACGTTTTTTTAGATTCAGTATCTTTTATCGACTCCATATTAATGTTTCACTGCTGCAAATTGATTTGTTTGTTTTTTTTTCAAATCTTGTTCAGGAATGTACTGAAATATGTAATTAAATGTTATTAACTATTACTAGTTTATAATGTTAAATTATTTTCTGAAACATACATTTTATAATGATAACAGATGACAAGAGTAAGTAGCACATCATTAAAATGCATATATAGGTGATTGGAATTCTATTATTTTATTCTTCATAAAAAATATATGTTTTTAATAGTACCTGCATAAGTATTTATAATACAAATATGCATATTATCTGATAATTTAATATAAATCCTATGTTTAATTACCTTAATTTAAGGTAAAATTTACTTTAAATAGATTATAACCTGTGTAAAGTGATCCCTTTTATGGCCAGTATTTGGCCACCCACAATATAGCCACACAATAATGACAAAGAACCATTTAGCAAAAGACCATTAACATAATTTAACAAAATGCTTCCCAAAAATCAATATATTTTTATATATTTAAAACTTAAATGCTAATTGATGTTATAAAATATTAATAAATTAAATACCTATTCCTTTATAATTTGTTATAAAATGATAAACAAAGTAGATCATAGACGACGTGTTCGATATGTATTATACGTACATTTATTAAATAGGTGGGAAGTTGGGAAGGTAGGATATAGACGGGAATTTAATTTATATCTGTAAGCAATGATAAACCACTGCTAACGAAAAAACGATTCGGAGAGTTCAGTTGATAGTGTTGCTTTGTCAAAAATATATGTCATATTATGGTAAAATAATTTCATGTGTATTAAACATTTTCTTTAATAATATTTGTTTAATATTGTACCGATTTTCCCGTTTCTCCTCCGTTTTTTTCCGATTTTTCCTATAAATTATGAAAACTCTTGAGAAAATCAAAAAATGACCCCCTTAAAGTGCCATCCCAATCAGATTTTCTTTTAGAAAAAGTGTTACACTTGTAAATCGGATCAATATTTCTGGTAGAAAAGATTTTCACAGACAAAAAAAAGTGAAAAATAAATATCATTGTAAAACCATTATTTCTTCGCTTTGCTCAAAATCTAAATTCATGATACAATTATGAAAATAGTAAGTACATCTATTTATAACATTATATCTGTAAATTAAATGTATACATAAATTTATAACCAGTTTAAAAAATTTAAAATCAACAACACATTGAACAAAATAACCAAGTAATGATTTTGAAAGGTAACTTTCACTATGAATGTCATATCGACATGTACAATTTTAAAATTATGGTTTGATTCATAGAGTTGTTTGTATATAGAGGAACTACAAATGATATTGTAATATGAATAAATTATGAAGCGGAAATGGAAAAAAAGTGTTGGAAAACTATAGAAAATATTTTATTGTACATGCAATGTAGTAAATATTGATTGCTTACACAGTATTTGACCATTATAAACGCTAATACATTAATAAATCGATAAATTACAATAAATATTTTTAACGTTTATTTATTACTACTATTAGCAGTAGCGCAACCAGGGGTTTAAGGGTTATATCCCCCCACAATCAGAAATTTGAAGTTGTTTTCAAATTTTAAGGAACAATTTGTATTGTTTAAGTCAAGTAGCAGTAATTTCTTAAATTCATTAGTATAGAAATTTTTTATAATTATTTGTACTTGATAAAGTGCGATGATTTAATACAAATAATTTAACTTAGCTTGGCGGGCACTAATATGTACGATTGCAAATAATTATACAATGCCAACATGAATATTTACATATTTACATCCCCATTTCATAATGTATTAATACTACCATAACACTATTTAAGTATATATATGGCAAGTAGCCAACAAGTTAAGTTAAATTATCATACTTCATGAAATAAAAACAATTATAAACAATTTCTATACTGATGAATTTAAGAAATTACTTAGCCCCTTTTAATATCTCATTTTTTTTTAACTTGCGTTTTTTTTTTGTATAGAGGTTTTTACGACGGAGGATCTTTGTTTGAATACCACTTATTTTTTATTAAAATTTTAGATATTGTTAACCTATGGTTTTTTTTTTCATCGAATGAAGAATCATTGGACAAAATATTCCTGATGTTTTGTGGATTGAGTAAATGAATATATGATGTATAGCTATGAATATAGTTCATTAATGTTGCTGGAAAATGATAATATAGTAATACAGTGATAAAATAAACAAAATTGTTTTTTATTCGCCACAAACGGCTACCATTGTAAACTGGTGACAAGAAACGCGTACAACATATGCATTGTTAAATTGTTGAAAAAAATAGCGTTTTGAGTAAAAACTATGCTAATTTTTTTGGATATTACTCAGAATGTAATCATCCGATCAACTAGAAATTTACAATAATACCAATTACATTATATACTGATCAACCTGTGCAAATTTTAAAACAATCAGTTCATCAGTTTAGGCTACAGAGAGGTCGGACCATTTCTCATTAAAATGACACAGGTTAAATAGGAGTTGGCCGTCTCGTGTAATATATTGCGATCGACGCACGAGTTCTGTATATTTTACTTATCTCTACGCCGCAACCGCGGTACTGGATCTTAATAGCTATAATATACCGTTGTATTATGTGAAAGCTACCTATAATAGAATATAGATGCATAACTTAAATAAAAAGTAAAACGGAAACGTCCTGAAAATATGTCAGAAGAGACCGAGTAATCGTAAAATTTAATCTGGGTTAAAAAAGAACTGTATTTGACACATAAATTTAGTCCACCGAAGGTGTACTACCTTTCTACTACCTGTGATAAATCGTAAACCAACCTAAAAACATAAAAAACTAACATCTATAACGAAAACCTCCCAATCCCAACTGTATCGAGCCAACCACCCGAGTTTACATTGACTTACAAAAGGAGCGAGTCTTTATATATAGTATATATTACATAATATGTAATATAATCTATATTTCATTATTATTTTCTCAACTAGGTAAGAATTGCATAAATTATGCAGTAGTCTTAAACTCATGACTGGTATTTAATTTCATCCACCACACACCAAATATGAAAACAAGAGAATGTCTTAAGCGTATATAAAAACCTAACCACTAGAAATTGTATAAAACGACTTCTAAATCCCAATCTTATCGATTAAACATGACATGCTTTAGTTAATTTCCCTATTCCTTGTATCTTCTTTTTTCTGTATTCGCTCCGGAATATTGTGGTTAACAAAATACTGCCCCAGCGTCTAAGGGTGGAACTATGTATCTAGTATATAATAAAGTGTGAATCGCTTATTGACTCGTACAATCAATTTCTACGACAAATTGTGATTGTCTTGATGACAATTGTATTCAGTGGAAGTCAAATGATTTGTTGATTTGGATATGAACACATTATAATTTCCGTTTTTTTTTTTTTTACAAATAGTTAATATAATATTTAGGTGTCATACTATTTTAAATATTAAAAGAAAAAAGATAATGTGGAGGAATATTTCTCCCTCTCCGTTTGACGGTCATCGATTGAATTATATAAATTACAATAAATTTGTTTTAATACAGGTACCTGGTTGGCTGAATTTACTTTTTCTTCTTGTAATAAACACGAAAACAATACACGTGTGATACATTAAACGGTTATCGATACTGTAATTAAATGACATTCAGGAAACGAACTGAAATCGAAAACGGTCGACGGATAAGTGACACCACGGATGTTCGATACGAAAACGAAAACTTTTCTGGTGTTCTGGATGTTTTCGTCAAGCGTGTACACACTGCATTACTGAGAAATTTACAACTTTACACTCACGGAACGGCGTACGGAAAACCATAGACCTATAAATGTTATGGGTCTATGCGGAAAACTAAACATCAGTAACATCTATGCATTTTACGATTGAATGTATTTAATTGGCCAACAGTGTTTAAGATAGAATTATGTCAAGCCAGCATTAATGTCCGTGTATGTTTGTTTGAACATTCGTCACTAGGGTGAACGTTATAAATTCATTATCATTTTGACCAGTGGCGTACGCAGTGGCTAAGGGGACTGAAGCCCCCCCCCTTGACCGTTTATATATACGTAACTTGGTGCAAGAAGGGCTAATGTTATTTTTTTTTAAATCAGTTAGAAATAAAAAAACGAAAATGCACAATTATTTATTTTTTAAGTTAAATGTGTACATTTATATTTAGTAAAATACATAGAGCCTTATGGGGAAATAATATTTTAAAGCCCATTTCCTAACAATCACAAAATGTGACATTCTTCTTGCACCTAGCTACAAATATTTATTGATACATATAAAAACGGTTAATACAAAATATTGAGCAAATAATATACCTATACAATGTATAGTATACATACATATTTTTTTATATTTTTCAAGTTTCAACTGTAATAATAATTAGTAAATAAGACATTTTTTTCATAAAATACACTATTTTCGTAAGTAAATAATTTAATTTACTACCGCTATCTATTAATAACCTTACTATATTATCACAGAATAAGATATTATTAAGTTTATAAGATTATTATTTTTGTCTAACTGAGGTGACACTCGTTAAAAACAATGGTTTTGTTATAATTACAACTTTGGCGGTTCGTGTTATTACCCGAGCTGCCACATGTCCACGCCACCTTCGATAATATTTATGATTAAAATATTGAAGTTACTGAACTGATGTTACCAACAATTAACGAATCGTTAAGTTAGCCCACGGATGTTGTAAATAATAATAATATAACCTTTAATTAGTGAAAAACAATTATTTAGATAATTTTGTTTTTACTTATTTCTCTTTAGTGTCAATTTAATAATATTTTGTATACTTAGATTTTTCATCATTGTTTTCGTATACAACGTATTTCATAGGTCTGCACACTAAAAAACCTATTTAATTGTTCAGTATGGCAAAAAAGATCTATAAATTGAATATATTGCAATTTTTAGTTTGAAGAAAAAAAAAAGTTACGTAACCCATAATTCATACAATTCTAATTTTGA